GGCACATCGGAGAAATCCGCTCAACGAGGTAACGTTCAATCCGGACTGGCGTAGCGAGGAGATTGTATTGGGGAGTGGGGACGGAGGTAGGCATGTTTTGGCGAAGCTTTAGTATGAATGTAGTTATGCCATCCATGTGGAGAACTAAACTCCGAAGCTTAGTATAAATGTATGCTAGGCGATGTGACGAAATACACATCTCGGCCCGAGTCGTCACTATCATCGACATCAAGCGCTGCAGGTCCGTTGGATGCGCACGGCATTGCCCTCTCTACCTGTCTGGTCCGCGAGCGGAAACCTGTCAAGTGTCAATGTGGATGAACGTGGAACTCGGGGTAGCGTGAAACGAACTTGACTAATGGCAGGCGAAAACCCCCTTTCCACTGCCGGCACCGGTGAAGGAAAAATTCTCATCCTCAAGTCCAAAGCTTGCTGGATCGTCATAGTAGGTGTGATCGGTCAAGGAGGTCTGCGTGGATTCTCCGCAATACATATTGTTTCCCAAACTCTAAATTCGCAAAGCGGTCCAGGTCATTTCACTAGTCGGCCGTTGAAAAGAGGGCCGATTAGCCAAGGTCACGAACACCCAATGACGATTTGCTGTCACTGTTTCAAGACCCCAAGTTCTGTAGCCGTTGTGAACAACATGGCATTTTTCCCTGCTAGGCGACCGTTGAAACATTGGCATCGCGTGTTTTTGAAGTCCGGGAGAGCATCGGGAGTTGTCTGTCGGCGCCATTCAGAAGCTCCGGATGTGGGCGGCCTGCATCGACCCTGCAGACTGCATACTAAGACTGGAGACCAGGACAGATAAGGAATGTCGCGCTTCAGGAGGAGCGAAGGAGTCTACACTAACACGTCCGCGTCTCTCCTGGATGCGGCTCCAAACACGCATGGAGTAAAACGACTCGTTTGGTGTTGCAGTACCGTCGCAGTCAGGGCGGAAGACGGGCGTTGGGCGCCAAGACACGACTAGTTTTCTGAGTCAGCAACAATTGGAGGCCTGTCGCTTGTGACGCAGTTATGCAGACTGCGGCACATCAACCCACTATGCAGCACCGTTTTCCCGAGCACCGGGCCTGACCCCATGCCCTTCGATCTCTGCCAGACAACCTTTATGGACCACCTTCCGCCAGTCATCGGGCGCTCCATTCCAAGCTCGTGAAAGCGTGGCCTAGGTTTCAGCCTGATCGCCGAGATTGCGCTACGCCAGTTCCGGCCCAGGACCCTTCGGATGACCACGCAGCACATACGAGGACCGGAGAAGGAGGCATAGTTATTATACTTGGTGTTCTTTGGTCCTGTACAATCAAACGAATACATCTGTCTGCGCTAGTACCTGCTTCGTAGAGACTGTACCTGAGCCTGAACAGCAATTGCGGAGCTTGCCGCCGTCCGCCCGGCCGCCCGTCTTACCGCCTCATAAACCGCCATAACCTAAGCATGTCCTATCGAGGACGCCCCAGTAAGGGATGTGAGGCTTGCAGAGCCCGTAAAGTCAAGGTGCGTGTTCTCTTGAGTTGATATCATCGAACAGTGTCGGTAACCAGACCGGGCCATCCGCATCCAGCAGACTCTGGTCACGAGGACGAGGCTGATATCAAATTAGTGTGATGAGTCGAGACCAGCTTGCAGTCGATGCAGCAAGGCGGGTCATACATGCAAGTATCGAGATCAAGCCGACATCCTCTTCCGCAACCAAACAGCATCTGCTGCGCAGAGAGCCGAGGAATCATGGAGGAAGCGATCAAAGTCAAATCAACGCGCTGTCGTTGCCGAAAGTAGCAATACTTATATCAAAACCCCGCCAAGCGACGAATCGACACCACCTCATTTGGACGATCAACGCTCGTCCAGCGGCAGTGTGCATTCTCCCGGTGGATCCGTGGACGACCCTGCCCAAGATGCCTCAGGTGTTACCCCGCCAATAATCGATCTAAGCCGACTGACTATCACCCCGGTGGCTAACCCGGACTTTCGTAGAAGGGCCTTTGAGCGCTTTGTGTACGACTTTGTACTGCCCGATCAGCCGAACAGACCAGCGGACCAGCCGGATGAAGCACTTTGGACCTTTATACCGCTCTTGTATCAGGGTGCGCCAGAGGACTCGTTAATTGCAACAGCTGTTGACGCAGTCTCTTACGTAAACTATGCTAATAGATGTAACGACCCTCAGGCCCAGGCATTGGGTGAAGAATGCGTGGGAAGAGCCATTCCGATGTTGACGAAGACAATCGCGGATAAAAAGCAGTCGGCCACGAATATCGCTTTGGCCGCAGTGCATTTAATGGGAGTTTACGAAGTATGTTACTGATGGATCTATGATGTTTCCAAGCGCTAACGTGACGATTAGAATCTTACCAGCGTGCAACGGAAGGGCACATTCATTGCCCACAACCATGGCGCAAATGCGCTGCTTCAGTTGCGAACTGTTGAGCAGTTCTACAGCGATCCCATATCAGCCAGACTTTACGAGGTCATCTACGCACATCTGGTAATTACAGCTGAAGAGGAACGGTTTCCAGCTGCCCAAGGCTAACGTTGTTACAGTTACTAGGTAATTTACAGACAGCCAAGCGCCCTGCCATACCGACAAGAGACGTGGTCAAGGTGGACGAGCTACTTCCAAGTCTATACAAGAACTCTAATGCTTTTGTAATTCGCCTGATCTGGAGAGAGGCGATGTTGCATGCTAGATGGCACGAAATGAAACAAAGTACGAATCCACCAACTAATCGTCTGGCCTTGCAAGAGCTTTTGCAGACCGCGCTAGAACTAGATGACGACTACCAAGCCTGGGAATCACAGATTACGCCTGCTTGGAACTACCATGCGACACCTAATACGCCAGAGGCCAGGTCGAACTATGATCCGAAATGGCAGAAGCTCTTCCTGGGATGTCGCGGCGCCCCGGAAGAGATACATTCTTACCCCAGCGTCAAACGCGCTTGGATTTGGGGCTTCTACCGTACAAGCCGTGTACTCGTTCTGCGAGACCTACTTGAAATGTTGAATTGGATGCTAAGATTTCGGGATCCCGGTCGATCGGCCGCAGCGCAAGGACAGACTGTACCCACCACTTTGAGCGATAGGACCCTCCGCATACATCACTCTGTTGCTACTGCACGTCTGGTTGAAGTGATTGAAAGGAACTGCTCAGCCATGATTGGTAGTCTTACCGTGCCAATACACATGAAGTCTATCGACGATGTGGTTGGTATGAGAGGATATGTCGATATATGGCCACTGGGTACCATGGACGCTGTACTGTGTTCAGGTCTTGTGCCCGATAGCACTGCAGGCAACTCTCCACAAGACACTGGTCAGATGCCAACACCACCGTCAGCCTACACGCACCAGTCCAACACGCCACCACACCTAGTCTCCGCCACATCCAACTTGTCGTCGTCAAGCGAACCCTCGGAAAACTTGGAGTCTTATGCAACAGCACCTCAGTTTTCTGACCTTAACACCATCCGTTCGAGAAGTGGCCTGAGCTCCAGTCCTAGCCCGCCGGCCAACGTCCCAACATTCGATCCCAATGCAAAGAAAGATCACATTTTCGACCCGCACCCCGCGCATCCTTACGACCGACCTCTCGATCTTCCGCCGCTGGAATTTGAGACGGTAATACCTAGGAGAATAGACGTCGCAGCCAGACGTGAGTGGATCAATCGCTTACTATATTACTTCGCCACAGAACTGGGGTTGAAGAAGGCGCTGTGGGTACCAGTGATGCAAGGATTCATGCCCATGGTGAAGCCAATGGTTGATGAGATTCTCAGCCAGGAAAGGCGTTTCTAAAATGTGAGACAACGCATTCTCTTTGATGGCGAGTAAGCAACAAACGGGCATCCATGGGCGTTTTTTTTTTACGATCTTCTCTTCTTTGCATCTGCTTGTGGGAATCCTAGGATTTCGATTGATGCCTTGGTAACACATATGTTCGCGTATATATATTAGGGTCTGGATTTGGGTTGAGCATACACGAAGTTTATGGCTTGCATTCTTGGATTATGAGGACCTTTTGTTGAGTAAGAGAAGGCATTGTATTAGCTAAATGGTTTAGTCTAATCGTTAATGATGACAAGCTTTCGAGACTGTGGATGACATTGTGTTTCTGGTAGTCTTGCCTTGGACTACGTATTCGCTGTCTACGTATTCTAGTCACCAGTATAGATTGGAATGACCAACTGTTCAACAGGCGTCGCTCTTCGGAAGCTCAAATGCACGAACGTGGCACTCAAAATGACTGTCTCTCAAGTCCTGCAATTTTGAAAGATGTCTTGCCGTTTCCAACATGGAGGACTAAACTCCGTGGCTCAAGTGGACAGAGACACAATGGTTCATGTTGCTGCTCCGTCTGCCGTGTCAAACGACACGACTGTTGAATACGGTCTCATTACAGAGTCTAATGCGAAAGCTTCACCGCTTCTCCGGCTTCAAAGCGAACTACGCAAGAAGACCCATCCATGTGCCCTGGCCGGCTGCTGGATGGCGCCCATCCGACCCGTCCGGTCCTCAATTCCGGATGATTGTAAGAAGAAATGAACCCCGCCTACGCCCCGCATTTCCAAAGATGCCGTTTTTGAGACTCGCACCACTAAATGTGTTGTCAACTCGGGACGAGCTATTGCCGCTTTTTTCTTCCCATATGATATTGCACTTCAAATACATACAGCATTATCAAGCTTTTCTTTCTGTCGTCAGAGAGGCGGAGAAGAATTTTTCAACTTCGATCTTGACCAGCTACTAGGGGCTATCACCCCTAAGTGACGAATCTGACATGGATCATCCTGATATCGTACTCTTGCGGATTTGGAACGTGCGTCTAGAATTTGTGTCTAGGCAGACTGAGAGTTAGATCAAACTCACAACATGGGTAGTCGAGCAAGATTCGGGATGCAATAGCCTCGCAGTGCCACTCAACAGGCTAGACTTTTGTGAATAGAGTTGTAGTAGTGGGTATCCATAACGAATCGATATGTAGGGTTCCAAGATGGGGACACTCATTGCTCACATTATCCCGCCAACTCACCTCACCAGAATACAGATAACGCCAAGACGTAGTCGCCGTTTGCACTCATGCGCACCGTGACCTAGCGTTGCGGCCGACATTGGCTGGCAACTCTCTCCAAACTCTGCTTTGTCTACCTCTCTTGTATGCAAACACCGAATCTTGGAGCAGCGACCGCACTTCACTGCTACCATGGTGCTCCGCCTATCTTACCTTGGCTCCATGGAGCCTCGCGTCTTGCCGCCAGAGCAAAAGGATGACCGCGACGACGATCTGCGCTGCGTTGACGACATATTTCACATCAGCTGCGAGCGACCAGCGCGCTGTCAGGATCTTCACCGCGAGGTGAAAGATACAAAGGAGATGTAACTTACCTGCAATGGCTAGAAAACATGACACTGATATCTCGCAGCACCCAGAGGAACCAGGTCGACTCCCCGCTCCTGCGTCTACCTGCCGAGCTCCGCAACATGATCTACTGGAATGTCTTCGCCGGAGCCGTCATCGCTATCAACAAGGCTCACACAAAGAAAGACAACGTCCTCACCACGTACCCCAGCGTCCGCGCACTCATGTACACCTGCTCCCAACTCTACCGTGAGGCTGAAATCTACATGTTCGGCCTCACTCTCTTCGCTCCCAGCTACTTTGCACTCCGCTTTCTCTGGTTGTCGAACATGTGCGCCGGTATGCCTGGTGCGGGGACCGCGTCGATTATGGGTTGTAAGATCACAGCTGGTAACGCACGCGCCATCATTGAGGGAAAGATCAAGAAGGAGGACTTGGCATACTATCCGTGCTTGCGACAGATATTCGTTCAGCTCTGGGATCACCGTGTATCTGTCAAGAGGAGCGAGATCTACACACGGATGCTCCGTGAAGCATTCGGCATTCCGAATCTCGACGTCAAGTTCATAAAATGAGAGGGTGGAGACCAAGACATGGTTGAGCTGGGCTGGGTGGTTGAATGACGACTTGGGGATAAACTGTGAACCGGTAAAGTACCTTCCAGGTAGATGGCTGTATCACAGCTCAAAGCAAAAATAGCTCAATGTCACAAATGGCGACAAATTCCAGAACGGCGTTTAGCCCCAACGCTAACCCTAATCTCCGAACTCCACAACCTTGCTTACATAACGCACGAGCCCCATTCACGAATCCTCACCAAAGCTTTCCGGACCATCCCCATCCCACCCATCCGCATTCGCATTAGCGCTCCGATATCTGAGTGCTTCGACCTAGTTCCAACAAACCCAGTGCTATTCGCAGCTCAAGTCAGAAGTAAAGGCAATCGATAAAATCAGTAAAGAGCTAGGAAGACGCCACATACAAAATGGATATCCGCGTACTACGACCATCGGACATTCCCCATGTCCAGCTCGCCAATATTACCAATTTGCCCGAGAACTACTTTTGCAAGTACTACTTGTATCATGCCATGAGCTGGCCGCAATTGAGCTACGTAGCTGTTGATGTAAGTTTTGTCATTCTGATACATGAGGGGGGAAATGGCCTGCCCCTCCTTAGGGCCAGGGCCAAACGCACCCAGAACAAGGAGCACAAAAGAGCTAGCGAACCGATTCTCGAAAAGAGAAAAAAAAGACTAGGAAACAGCTTCAATAGCCCGAAGAGTTGGCGAATCGCCTCAGCTGTTCTTCAGCTTCATGGGAGAAGGATGGCAATAGGACGCCCGCATGAGCTGTAACGTTCCGATTGCGTGAAATGCAAACTAATCCTCCCTCATCCTACCACTCTGCTATTTAATTACACATCTTTCGACAAAGAGCCCGTCCAATACTAACCTGTTCATCAACAGGTCTCGCGTCCCCCAAAGACGCCCTATGATCCCCCAAAGATTGTCGGCTACGTGCTTGCCAAGATGGAAGAAGAGCCCACCGACGGCGTGCAACACGGGCACATCACCTCTCTCTCCGTAATGCGCACGCACCGGCGCCTCGGTCTAGCCGAAAAGCTCATGCGTCAATCCCGTACGTGTCTTGCTTCCCTTGGTCTTTTTGCCCAACCCCTCCCCCACATCGCCCCTTTGCCCCCAACTGATGTAACATGCTTTCTTTCAACTAATATCTCATCAAGAGCGCGCCATGGCGGAGACTTTTAATGCACACTACGTCTCCCTGCACGTTCGCGTGTCTAATAATGCGGCGCTGCATCTCTACCGCGAGACGCTCGGCTTCACCGTCGATAAGATCGAGGCCAAGTATTATGCAGATGGCGAGGATGCGTATAGTATGAGGATCGAGCTGGCAGACCTCAAGGAGCAGTTGCGAGACGAGGAGGAAGAAATCTTCGGGAGCAGCGAAGGTGTGGATGAAGGGAATGCTGTGGGTGATGAGGTAAGTTTTCAACCTCCCCCCCTTGTTTTTTTTTCGACAGATGGTGGGAATGGTTTTGCTAATAATTTTTGTGTTTGTTGTAGGGCCAAGAGAAGAGGAAGGCGGAGAAGAAGACAAAGGTCAAGGTGGGAAGGAATAAGGGTGTTGTCGATCTTGTGGAGAGGGTGGAGGCGCCCAAGGGTGAAGCGACTGCTGCTTAAGAGGCAATTGTTGCTGAAATACACGGGCAGGTTGAGAGAGGTGAGGAGCTTGACAGGACGCGCGGCGAGTAGGAACGTCTACCGTTCATCTCGGATGGACAACGTGTGAAAGATTCCTAGGTCTGATGCAAGAAGTGTGTGGGTGAACAGCGAAGAGGGTTTTGGTTTTGAAAGACCGTCTTTGCGTTGGTATTAGTCTAGTTAAAGGGCCCTTTTGCTAGGCCAACCCATTCCTCTCGTCTTACTCTTGAATGCAACGTGTAGATGCGAGATGCGGGATGCGGGATGCTATATACAACGCCCTCTGCAAGACGAGGCACACGTCAAGTATCAGAGACAAGAGAGACGTCCACCACCCCCTATATAAAACGCCTGAGAGACGGAAAAAAAACCAACGCCCCATGTTTACCACCGTGGATATCATAAGTCAGATAGACATACATCATCATCATCACATCCCTCTCTCCTCACGCCGCTGCTTTACATCAACCCCCCAAGCACAACCTTGCCCACGCCGCCAACCTCACTCTTCAACCCAGCTCTACAACTATCCTCAAACTCCCTCACCACGCCCGCAAGAATAATCTTGCGCACCCTCGCATCCGCCTTGTTGAACAAATCGCCCACGAGACTAGGCTGCCCCCCACCCGCCACAGCCACACTCTCCGGCGTACTCAGCATGCTCAGAATCTTTGTGTAGCAATCAATCAAGACATCGCACAGCGTGGCAAACGTGCTGAAGAAGTCTGGGTCAAATGGTAGAGAAGGGGTTTGCAAGTGCGTGTAAGATTCGTTGGGCAGGAGCGAGTCGTGGTCTGCTGTAGGCGGGGAGGAAAAGGAATCGACGTTGCTGCCGCTTCCGCTGCCGCCAAAGGCACCACCAACACTACCACCAGCACCACTCGTTTCGCTACCCGAGAAGCTATTGCTCGGCGTGAGCATAGGGAAGTCGCCATTCGCGGAGCTCGATCTGCGGCCCTTGGACCCCATGGTCATGCTCATGCCCATGTTTGCGCGCTTGAACATTTGCGGGAGGCGGGCGCGGGACAGGGTGGACGGAGTGGAGCCGTCGGCCGGGTGTATGGATTGGTACTGCTCGAATTCTATGAGCAGGGCGTTGAGGGCTTTGAGGTAGTCGGACGGGGAGTTCGCGTTTAGGTCGAGGATGGTGGGGAGGGAGAAGCCGAGGAGGAGGTAGTGGGTTGCGCGGCGGGCTTGGTTGCGCGTGGTGAAGGAGGGGAGGCGCGTGAGGTCTGTTTTGGAGAAGAGGAGCGTGTTGAACCAGTAGATTCTGCCTTCGTGGCTGTGGGGGTGTTAGTTGTGGGATTGAAAGTCTGGAGATTGAAAGTACGGAGACTGAAAGGAAATCAAAACGTACGCTTTCCGCAGGTAGTCCAAGGTGGATATCCGTTTCGAGGCGAGCTCGTGGATGTGCTGGAATACCATGTTTGGGTTTGAGCCATTGGGCACGGGGATGGGGGCTGCTGGAGCCAGAGTGCGATTCGACTGCTGGTTTGCCTGGAGAATCTCCTTTTGCGAGGGGGGATGTCGTAGTGGCATGGGGACGGCCATGTTGGCAAAGGGCGTCTTGGGCTTGTCGACAGCACTCAGCGGGCTCTTGTCGTGGACGGGGTCCGTCTTTACGTTGTCGCTGCTTTTTTGCTTGTTGCGCGAGAAGGTGGAGATGGAGAGGGCGGGCCGCGAGGCATTGGAAGTGGTGTTGGGGACCGGAGCCTTCTCGGGGGAGTAGGTGAGCGCCAGGGTGGCCGAGGGGAGCCTCTTATGCGAGGACGATGACTTGGCCGTGCTGTCGGACGTGTTGGTTCGAAGCGAGGCGGACCGTGAGCGCCGCAGCGAAGAGCCGAGATCCGTCACCGACGATGCGATGCTGTGCCTGCTGCTGCTGGCCTGTCTGCGTCGCTGTGGCGTCGTAGGCACTCTGGGGGGAAATTGGTATTGGTCCGGGTCGGTCGGGGGGGTGTCTAGCTCGGGGCTGGTGCTGGCCGCGGCGGGCGTTAGATTGAGCGTGGGCGGGGATAGAGTTGACAGTGCTTGCTTGTGTCCCTTGTTCTTTCCACCAAAAAACGAGGGGCGGCGGGAGAAGATGCCCTGAGCGCTCGACGATGGGGGTGCGTGGTCGGCCATGCTGTCTCAAGCACAAGGGCGACCCAAAGCTGTGGGGCTACCGAGCGATCAGGGGCTGTTTCACCCTGGCCCTAGACTTCCTGCTCGGGGTCCCTGATGGCTATGTCGCGACTACACTGCAATCATGTGCATACACGGCAAAAGAGAAGACGGCATTGTACATGGTAAAGAGGATGACCACATGTCGAAATGGCAGACTCTTGATCGCCTGGCGCACAGGCAAAACGTGTTTCGACTCGCGGCTACAGCTGATACCGTCCTCACCTATCCCGACGCAGGAACACGCCGCCCGAGGCGAACCCCTGCTCACCGCATCCACTCCCAAATGCCATAGCTTCGACTCAAGCCTCGCCCATCTCAGGCACCTCGGGACCTTGGAGCCACGTGCGACCTTCACCACGTTAAGCTGAATCCAGCAGTGGCAGGTGTTGCTTAATTGCGCTTCAGCTCACGGTCCACTCTCGACGTCGTTGGACTCTCTCTCCCAGACACACAGAGTTATTGTTTACTACTGTCTTATTGTTTACTACTGCCAACCCCGCTACCCCACTCACGATGCAGCGCCGACAGAGCGCACGAGTACGCGCCCTACACCCACGCCCGTGCCCGCGCAAACAACTGACCAAACATAGGGAGAGTGGATTCCCACCGAGGGACAGTGGCCCGTGGACCCTCAAAAAGATGTTGAAGTTTCTGAGCAGCGCATATGGGTCGATGGCTGTTTCGACTTTGCCCACCACGGTATGCGGGCTTCACAATTTCCGTCTACATGCCAGCGCTTACCATGAAGAACAGGCCATGCGGGCGCCATGCTGCAGGCGCGGCAGCTGGGCAACGAGTTATTCGTCGGCGTGCACTCGGATGAAGCAATCATGGAGAACAAGGGCCCGACAGTGATGCGCCTGGACGAGCGGTGCGCAAAACCACCCTTTGGACTGCCCTCTGTTCACAACTAACGACAACAGTGTCGCCGCCGTCGAAGCCTGCCGATGGGCTACCAAGGCCGTCCCTCGCGCGCCCTATGTGACCTCGCTCCCCTGGATCACCCACTACGGCTGCCAATACGTTGTCCACGGCGATGACATCACTTCCGACAGCGACGGCAAAGACTGCTACCGCTACGTCAAAGCAGCCGGTCGCTTCAAGGTGGTTAAGCGCACGCCGGGCATCTCGACCACGGACCTCGTAGGCCGCATGCTGCTCTGCACAAAATCGCACTTTATACCCTCGCTCGAGAAACGGCTCTCAGGCGACGAAGGCCCAGGCGACGAGAAGGAGCGGCTAAAGACTGGCGAGGACATGCTACAGCGCATCAAGGACTACGCCACAGATGCTTCGGGTCGCGCGCCGGGCTGCGACGTATGGTACTGGCATGCTTCCCGCCCTGTCAAGCTACGGCGAACAACCACCAGCAACACCGTCGCCTCGCCCACCTCGCCCACTGCTCCCCGCCCTGGTGCCGTCCGCGCCGCCTCTACGGCCTCAGCTCTCGGACCCGTCAAGGAAGAAAAGGGCAAGTTCCACCAGTTGGTTCAAGGCAAGGGCGTGAAACCGGGTCAAAGAGTCGTTTATGTCGACGGCGGCTGGGATCTCTTTTCCTCGGGCCACATTGAGTTCTTGCGTCTCGTTACATCGGCGGAAGAGGAGGGTGCTAAAGAGAGGGGATGGTATACCGAGGAAGCGAAGAAGGAGCGCATAGAAAAGGCGGGTGAGGACTATGGGCCCGTGTTTCTCATCGCGGGTATCCACGACGATGAGGTGATTAATCATTGGAAGGGCATTAATTATCCCATTATGAACATTTTTGAACGCGGACTCTGCGTGCTGCAGTGTAAAGTACGTATCCCCCTTCCTTGGCCTCTATCTTTGAAAAGCACAAAGACACTAACATGCTTGGAAACGCAGTATGTCCACTCCGCCATCTTCGGCGCCCCCTTCTCCCTCAGCAAAGCCTTTTTACACACACTCCCTTATAACCCCGAATCCCCACTCGCGGCAATATATCACGGCAAAACCACTTTTATGCCCTTGGCTTTTGACCCTTATGCCGTGCCCAAGACGCTGGGGCTCTACACGGAAATCGCCAACCACGAGTTCCAAAATGTGAATGCGGCAGAGATTGTGAGCAGGATTATGAAGGGCAGGGCGCTGTATGAGGAGAGGCAGCGGAAGAAGGGGGAGAAGGGTATGACGGAGGAGGTGGAGAAGATTCGTCAGGAGATGGAGAGGGAGCAGAAGAGGAAGGAGGTTGAGGGGCAGTTTGGGCTTTAGTGCTGGGGTTGGCATCGGGGTAGATTTCTTTTTGCCTTCTGTTCCCTCGTGTGTGAGAGATTTGTGGGCGAGAGGATGTAAGGATGTGGATTGGGGAGAGGTGGTTGGTGAGAGAGAAAGAGAAAGAGAGAGGGCTTTATACCATTCTTCAACAGACGTTTATATCTTCTCTCTTGGTTGCATGGAGGAATCGATTCAAGTTGTCGCCTCAGGGTTGAAGTGGAAGCTGAGGGCAAGTGATTGTTTGTTGTGCCAAGTCGGAAGGAAATAACCCGTACAGGCCCCAGCTTTGTTCCACGACTGATGGCAATCGCTAGCGTCTATAGAAAGTCATCGCTTGGATCAAAGTCAAGGAAGACAGACAAGCTCCGACGGACCTTGGCCTCCTTCTTCAAAGACGACCTCCAGAGACTCGTTCCTAGCCCATCTCCTCAGTGCCGCTTTAACACGATTGTGCGTCGACATTCTGCCCTTGACGACTATCTTATCCAAGCTGGGAAGGGAGACGGTAGCACGAGAGGCGGGGTATTCGAGCCTCGATGCGTGGGCTCTAGCATCTCTTGCAATCGATGCAGCAAAGTCTCTCGGAACCTTCAAACAAGTGACGAGCTTGCACAAGTCGTGGTCGCAATGTGAATGGAGCCAACCAAAAGCGCTCGCTACGTTTGTGTCGACCGTCATGAGCTTGCAGACCAGTGTCTTTGCCTCGTGTCGGATTTGTTGGCACGTTGCAAGTAAGTCTGGAAGGCAAAATTTGAGTTTAAGCGTCCGCCGATTCGGATCGGTGGTGTTGTCTTGTGTCCAAACGTCGACGCCAATGATTGTACATGTGCCAATGTAGTTGTAGATTGTGTTGCGGACCTCGGCTGGTAGACGGAGAAAAGGTGACACCAGACGATTCTTGTGAGTACTGGATCAGTTCTGTAAGTCATGATAGGTGGGAAGGTGACGGGCGTGGGTAGCTTACATTTCTGACATGGCGCCGTCGTATGACATGACTGCGGATGAGGCTCCAATCTGTATTTCCTTTGCATCTTGCTGCAAGTTGTGGGTTGTCGACTTTGTTGATATGTAGCGTGCTTGCTGGATGGCGCTAACTCGGAAGGAGCTAGAATAGGCATCCATTGGGGGTTGGCTAGGAGAGGCATCAATGCAGAATTAGTATCCGACTCTCGGCGTTATTCAAGCAGAAACTTTGGACTACTTGTTTTCTTGGGTTGCCACTTTCTCAGCTACGTGTAAGCGTCTTCCTGAATTGGAATATTGCTTTCGGAAAGGCCTTTGACGCGCGCAAGTCTAGTCTTTGCTAGGAGTTTCTACCCTCGAATGTAATTTCCAATGATTTATGATTAAGCCTCTTCCTTCAGCTGCCTTGGTTTCCTCGGGTGTTCTAACTCTTCTCGTTACACATGCCTTCCTTAAGCGCGGCGAGTGTTGTGAAATCACTGCTCGCAAGCGGCTATTATCATCAAAATCATTACGAAAAACTTCCCGGTTGGGGAAGCCGATTGACATGGTACAGGCCCTCAGTATTGCAATAAGAGCACAGATGATCGGATTGAAACCACTATTTAACAGGAAATAGCCGCTATAATCGCCAGCGTCGGAAGTGGCGAGGGGATATCGCGGTGTTTTTGCTACGCTGTAGACCTGTTTACAGCTTAGGATGGAGCCTGGGAGTTCAAAGATGAGCGTGCAGTCGGGAGACGGTATTCTCCTGACTATGGAGAATTGGATGGTGGTAAAGAGAGGCAGCTCATTGTTAGTATCGAAAGTTAGTGAAAGGTGGAAACTGGATACAATAACAACAAGATTAATCGTAATCGAAGTTGGAGGTGCCGAGCGAGGAAAGAGTGAGTCTTGTTGATTGTGACCACTAAACTAGTATGATGTATACAGCTGCATGCAGGCAAATGAGGCTTTGTGGAATTCACCTGCATCGCGATGTTTTACGGATTGTCACTTGATAAAGTGGTATTCACATCATAGCTCCAGCATACTCATCGGAGCAACGGAAGAAAGAGAGTTCTTATGGTCGGTGTATTGAAGGTGAATAAGCAACTGTGAAGACAATGCCTCCTGATTTGGAACAAGAGTAGAATCTGTGACGAATAAACCTCTTATGTCCTCCATTTTTGTCCACGCCACCAACCATTCTATCAACTAGAACTTCCAAATCTTGTTTTCTCGCCCGCATCTTGTTCGAGACTTGACTGTCAATTCCTCCGACATTATAGAGCAACACAGCTTCTAGTATTGCCGACCCATTATACATCATAGCTTGGTCAACTTGCAGTCTCGCAAAAGCGATATTCACCGCGCCCAGAACCAAGATAGTGTAGTTTACTTCAGTACTGAGCCCAAGCCTTCCAAGGACGCTTGGCGTTAGACATTGACGAAACAAATATCGATATCGCTTCCGAATAACTTCAGTAGAGTGTTCCTTGTCTTGTCCATTGTACAAGTGTTATCGTCTGCTTGAGCCCAATCAAGAAGAACCTTCCGGACCGCAGTGCAGTGCTCCTTGGGAGAAAAGTCTGTAAAAGAGTAACACATGGCCCTCCAGGTAGCAAAAGGTCCAAGACGAATGATCTGCATCTGGTCCAACAAAGTCTGATCTGTATGATGACAATAAACGAGAGACCATACGAATCCTTTGCATCGCAGCGCAAAGACAGTCGTCTTCCAGAAGTATGGGAGTGCTTCGTAGCGACACTGTGTGCAGCTTTATGCTACAACCAGTGGATAAGGTGTCGGAGAGGGACAATGATAGTATGGTGGGTCCCTGATGCCAAGTGGTTCGAGAACTACTTCATTCGTGTCCAAGGTGAAATGGTAGATTCTGTTGCGAAGCTCGGCTGGGAGGCGCAGTAGAGGCGAGTTAAGCTGGTTGCTGCGTGTACTATCATTGTTAGCGTGGAGGAATATGTGAGCGCCGCTTAATTGCATCGCTTCGACGTTTCGGGCCGCGGGATTCTTGTTCTTCTCAGCCATAATTTCGTTGGAAGGAACTGTAGTCGTGAGGATGAACGTGAGTCGATTTTCAGCTATGGTGTTGACGAATTGATCCGTAGTCGTGAGGATGAACGCGAGTGAATTTTGGAAGAGGGAAATTTCAGTGTGCGGAAGTATTAGCAGTTGAGGCCAATGGGAAGACGAGAGGCGAGGTGGCAGTGAGTTCGAGAAAGTGTTTGACTAGCGTACAAGAAGTGACTGCCAATACGTCACCAAGGATGCTACGTCGACTCTATGATCAACGGATTGCTACAATTCGCTCACCAATACTGGGAAAGGCTATGATCTCAGCAATCCAACCTCTTAGTCTCATCCAACTAGCAATGTTACCGATAGTAATAGTTTGGGCCCTGGGTTGACCATCTAAGTGAGACACGACCTCTGTGGTGTTCAGTGATCTTCAAACCCTCTCTAAATACCATTGGAATGGTTCCCGGGATGACCATGTACGTGAGACACGATCTCTCAGTTGATCAGTGATAATCAAGCCCTCCATGTCGAAAAGGAACCGCAGCTCATCCCTCTGACGTGTATTTGCCCAAGTTAGGTCGCGTACGTGGAGTCTCTCTAGACCAAGCAGACGCTTTGCAGGGCTATGATCTCCAAGTACTTCCTCGACCTTGCCCTTATAAATCGTAACCATCACTTCTTTCGCAAACTGAGAACTGATCTGCATCGAGGTGATGAGATGGCGATGCTCCGGGTGGAGACTCTTAAGACACGACAACCTAGACAAGTCGAATGTCGCGAGACTGTACATGAGTTTGACGGCCTCAGCGTAGAATTGGTGGCAGATAAGTAGGAAAGTCTGGGTGAAGGCACAGCCTTCTTTGAAACCATTTGCAGGATGACCGTGGTTGACGGTAGTAGAAAGACAGACGTGTATGTAGATCGTAGTACGAATCTCGCTGGGAAGACGCAGGAGCGGCGAGCTGAGCTGGTTCGAGGTAGCGCTATTCGAGCCAGCCAGTCGTTTCTCGAATGATGAAACGCTCGACTGGACTCCATTCTTCGACTTACATCTTGTCTTGTTCTTCGCGGTTGGTCGCGCGTAATTTCCCGCAGTTGGTAGATGCTTTGTTGCGGTCGGAGGCGGCGGAAGCCATCTTGTGGATTTTCAGAAATCGGTATTGAGAGGACTGCAACAGGAGAGTCGACGCGGTGACATAGACTCGATATACGAGAGCGGTTAAAGCGACAGCGAGTCCGTAGAGCAGGCAGCTACCAAGCTAGCGAATTATCACGTGTTAGCCCGGAGTACCTTCATCCTGTGGCTCACCCCTACTCAACGAAATGTCTCATACACGTTTGCTTTTGCTGCGCTTGAAAATGCATCACGGCTTCTAGAACTATCCTGGTAGCTCGGTTCCCAAGACTGGCTTCAAAAACATATTTGATGCCTTGTCAAGATTAGCGAGATTTTGGAGAGATGGATATTTTTTAAGATGTTCACATTCTTGATCTAGTATGTACAGCCAGATTGCTAAGAAAAGAGTACTTATACAGCTGTCTAAATCCATCCGACTTGACCCATTTAGACTTAGAGACCCTTAGGCTTCTTCAGGTAGGTCGGCTCGAGTGGTGGATCAGCATTCTTCACCAACATTTGCACATATTCATCGAACCAAGCACCAGCAGCGGGCGCACCAGCAAGCCCACACTTTCCATCACTCTCGCCACCAGGCTTGATCCAGACTAGAGAGTCGACGTTGGTGTTGTTCTGCTTCGAACCGGGTAGAGAGCCATATCCAGCAGGCTCAACATTGCACCACTCACCCCACTCCGCACGAGCCCCAGGAAGGGCGACGCGGCCCTGGTCGATGATGAAGTTGGATGGTAGACCCTCAGCCTCGAGGTAAGGAGCGAGCGACGAGGCGTAGTGGCTCTCGTCCCAAGATGGCGAGTACTCGGTGTAGTTCTCGCGTACCTTGGCTTGGAAGGAGTTGTAGTTGGATACGTTGGTGGCGTAACCCCGGATCTTGGCCGCGGGGTTGAGTTTCTTTGCCATAGCGACGACCTTGGCAAAGATCTGAGCGGTGGGCTTCAGGTTGTCCGCCCAGCCGAGCCAGCCGCCGTGCGCAGCATCCATGTACAAATGTACGTTGGGGAACTGCAGCTTGGCAATGGCGTACGCGATACCCTCTTCGTAGGCGGGAGTAGCGGTAGCACAGAAAGGGACGCCCTGGTTTGTGATGGCGTTACCAAGGGAGTCCGGCTCGAGAACAATAGCGAAGTCGAGATCTTTGGCCTGGGAAACAAGCTTGGCGTACTTGTCGACAAACTCCTTCTTGTAGATCTCGAGGCCGTTGTTCGCCAGACTGAGCTCGCCGGCGGATTCTCCTGCGGAGCAATCACGATCGGGCAAGTTGTACAAGACCAGACCAACGATCATCTTCTTTCCGGGCTTCCTTTGTTGACGAGCTTCCTTGATGGCAGTAGGAATGAGGCTAAGGCCATCACGTGTAGTAACCCAAGTGAAGGTTGAGATCTTCTGAGCAACTGTGCGGGTGCGCGCCGCATTGAGGGTGTCGTTCTGGGCCGTGAAGGAGGCGATGGTCTGGTCGAGTTTCTTGCCGTAGCTCTGGACGACATAGCGGTCTTTACCAGTCCAAGGGTTGATAGATACATTGCTTGGAGGTGGCTTGGGAGCTGCAGATACAGCACCAGCGAAGGCGGCGGATGCCAAAACAAGCTGTGTGAGTTGCACCATGATTGAAAGAAAGACTTGAGTGACTCGAGATGATGAGCGACAGTACGTGAGACTTATCTGGTCTTATATAGAGCGTCGTGAAGACGAATGCCGCGGACAGTGTGCATCCAATAATATGTCTTCCCTTCAACAGGCTTGGTACAGGCTTGCCCTCACATTTGCGTGGCTGTCTTGAGACGTGATCAACGGTACCGTCGGCCCGCCCTATGTTCTGATTGCACTCAAGAAGGTCCAAGTCCTTGGTCAGAAGCATTGACATCGCGCATGCAACGCGCCGTGGCGGCGTTGCTGTAGTACTTCATCGATAGCGTACCGTGCATTCTCTTTGGCGAATGTAAGGAACGGTCGTTTGCCCCTACAATGGTATGTAGTCCTGTTAACAGTAGATTAGCCAAGGCTCAGTCTACCAGGGATGGTCCGGGAAGTCAATATATCTGCGCACTTTACCCGGCTTCTACCCCTGCTTCGCTGGAAGACCGACCCCACAGTGTGGATAATGATATTACGACCACAGCAAGCTCCTTGCAGATTGGTCGACGTGGTGGAGCTACTGCTGTGTATATTGCGTTTAAAGTATAGCGAGGATCTTGTGTCATTTCGCGCTGCAGGTTGCCATTTGTATACATTGTAAAGAATATTCGTTGCATCTTCTAGCGTGACTGTGAGCGGCTCTACCCTGAGGCTGAGTTGGATGTAGATGCTGCAGCCCGCGATGCACGTACTCCACATCCGACAACTGTCCAAAGGGAAAGGGGGATGATGCGCATGGAGGCATAGCTCATTGCGCAATCTGAGCGATCGTTGCGTGCGGATGTTGGCTTTGGACTGATCTCTTCTCGACAATGAACGCACTTTCCAGATGCGACGCATCGCAATGAACGTGGCACGCTGCCACCTATTCACTGTCTATGTATACTCACCGGAACATCTCGAATACTGACTGGATGCGCGCTGTATGGAGGTAGCGAAAGAAAGCACGAGAATGATGGTGCTGTGCGACAATCATGTCGTACAGGACGTTCCGAGTGGGACAAAGCGACTATCAACTAGCAAAGACGTCGAAAATGTACAGAGACACGCATATTGGCCGGCATGAGGTATCGTTCAGTTGAACACGTGATGTTTAGACGCGAAAGCAATGGGGATGCGTCGATTCCTCGCACATGAGGAGATGAAGCACCACTAGCGGCTTGGCAGCGCCTGAGGGCATTTCGTGTTGCGCAGAACAAATTTCCACCAACTCGCTACTTTGACTGGCAGTCTGCGTGGCATTGATTTATTCGAAGCTATCCAGCGCAATACATTTACAGATCATGGCGTGCTATTCTTGATACAGCCAGCGACAGACTGTGGATTCTTCGACTTCATGGCCTAGATTCCATATGACTTAGTTCCCACTGTATATCGACCTGAAGATGTTTGCAGCAATCTAAATTGTCATCTTTTCTTCGTCAATGCGCGGCAGTGGACGATGGTTCGAGGAAGCGACCATCGATTAAGAGTCAAGTTGGCAGCCAATGTCAAACTCTTGGGTCAGATTACAAGGAAAATTCTTGGGGTGCACTGTTGCGAAACGGAAACCTCAACAAGAGTATCATAATGGGAAGGGTGATTAAGCTTGGTCAGCTCGGCGGGCTGGCTTGAGACAAAGCAGGTGGCAGTCGAAAAGACGAGAATGTGGAAGGTCACCACGTGTGCCCGATAAGTGAGGTTGTCTAGCCGAGTTTCTCGCAACACATGATTCACTCAAAACAGCAGCAGCGAGATCAAAATATGTCCGAGCAAAAACCATACATCAAATCTCGTCTAATCTACAAACGCATTCATAAGGAGTGCCATATCATCGTGTCGTATCATGTTATTAAGGAAGGACTCGTCCAGGCAACGGTGAAAAGAATTATCAGGTATCTCCATCCCAGACACCTTTCAGACTCACTTGCTGATGACTCTCAATCAAAGCAAGGTCTCATCCAGCACAGTGATGAATGATCTAGCACTGGCGGACGTACATGCCAATGGGGCTTGGATTGTAATCCTGGAAGTAGTTGATGGAGAAGTCACCGCTGCCACAAATCTCGTAGCTCACAGTCTTGCCAGCTTCGCAATCGCCAGACTCGACAGTGTAGGTGTTGCCGGGGCTGAGCTCCACGGAAGCAAGATCCCCAGCCTTAGCAGGAGCGTTGCTCCAAGTAGTCTGTACGTTGGCATTGCCCTTGAGCTTGCTGACGGTGCATTCGCCTTGACCAGAAATGGTGTAGTCGGAGGTCTCAAGGTCCTCCTTCTTGGGTAGCATGAACATGGCAGAGCAAGTCTTACCGGCGTAAGAGGCAGGGATATCGAAGTTGAAGATAGTGCAGATGTGGGCGCTGATCGTGCCGTTGTATGAGGTGCCATAGGCCTTGTCGGGGTGCTCAGAGTCAACGGGTACAATCAGATGAGGGTACTGGTAATTGCCGTTCAGGTCCTGGGGGCAGGCACCAGAGACAGCTGGCTTGGAGGGAGCTGGCGCAGAAGGAGCTGGCTTGGATGGAGCGGGCATGGAAGCAGCAGGCTTGGAGGCAGCGGGCTGGGAAGCAGGAGGGGCAGGCATCGACTCTGGTGGAGGAGCAGGCTTGCTCTGAGCGGGTTGGGAGGGAGCAGGGTTGTTTACGACTGGAGGAGCCATAGGCTGGGTCACAGTGACGGTAACGACCTTGGGTACACACTCAGACTCCTGGAGCATACCAGGTGCGGGCGAGCTAGGCTTGGGAGCTTCGGGTGTAGGCTTGGGAGTCTCGGAAGGCTTCGTCTTGGTAGCTGCGGGAGGAGTAGCAGCAGGATAGGAACCAGCAGGCTTAGATCCAGCAGGTTGGGACGCACTAGCTCCGCATGAACCAGCAGACCCGAGAGAAATCTCAACGCACTTAGTCTGACCGGGAGCAGGGGTTGTGTAGACATTGTATTCGCCGCTGTCGTTTACAGGGCAGGCATAGAACTTGCCTGAGCCATTGTACGTGACACTGCCACTGGAGCTGACAGCGAAGCCGTTGGTGGGGGTAGCGCCAACATCGCACTGGAACTGGGTAGTAGGGGGAGTCAAGATGCAGCCACGTCCATTGGAATCAGTGAAACCGCTGTTTCCATCCAAGCAGTAGCAGCCGGTTGGGTGGTTGCCGCCAACACGGTTCTGACCATCATCGAGCTGACCGAGTACACCTGATGCGCCGCCAGATGCTGAGAGCTTGAAGCATTGTGTGTTCGCACGAGCGACGTAGGCGTTGGCTCCGAGACCGAACGCGAGGGGAACGAAAGCGTATCTCATATTCGAAGATTAAGCGACTGTAGAATGGGATGAAATCGGATGATGCCTTCAAAAAGATATGCTCTGTGTGCTCTTTATACCTCTTCGGGCGCCGGAGATGACAACAAAGAATACCACTCAATTTCCTTAGTTACTCCCGGCACCACGGCATCTTGGTGCGTTGTTAGGATCTTAGCACGCTTCGAATATACAATTCATCATCATATCCATAACAATAATATCAACAGACGTAAGCTCGTATAAGCATTTGCAGAAACTAGTATATCAGTGGGTGGTGGCTTGAGCTTATGATTGTTTAGCCGTAGCCTTGCGACCCACCTTGACATAAAAATGTCGCTGTCTCAAGTAACAGCAACCTCAGTCATTGGTCAGGAAGAGAGGAAAGATCCAGGAACTGTGGTTCGCGATGATCGCCAGACCCGATATTGTGGGGTAGATTGACAGGAACGCGTTGCTCGGATGCTTCCAAGGAAATGTACCCGGTGTGAGCAAAGATCTGGCGATGAGAGATTGCGATATGCGTTGCGTAGTCAGAATCATTACCAGGTGCCACACACGCGATGCAGTGCATTGCTGTTTGTGGACGCCGTATGTTTGCCTTGCAGGTGTGAAGTTCCTCGAGAAGCTTGTAGTTTCGTCGCGGAGTACGTTCCGATGGCAAGGTCGATGCCGCTTAACACATCGGAACTATTGGCATTTCCCAATATAGTAACAAACCGTTGCCGAGTGTTCCGCTACTATCATAATATATGCAAGATGACCAAACAAGCAATTCTTGGGCAGTTTACCCCAGACTTGGTAGACCTGGGAAACATGGGGTACGTGGACAGTCAGACGTAGCCCTGCAGCGATCCATCTCAAATAAGGACTGCATGAATTATATCCGACTAATACACCTACTAGCCTGGGAGGTGGTGGAAGACGCTGGAGAAGCGAGTAGCAAGTAGCAAGTAACTTGGAGAACTGGTACGACGCGTTAATAACGATCGATATGGACCAGCGTCGAGAGGGTAGCGAACCGGGTTCAGCATGTCGGGCTTTTCTCCACGCTTTTACTGCTTAGCTTCAATCGCCAGGGTAGCGATGTCAGTGTTGGTTGTCGGGACGGTCCAGCGAACGGTCTCACCGGGATTCGTTGTACAGGGTGTATAAACAATGCGATGCAAGATAGTTGCATCATCTTGACATTACGAAGATAGCAACAATGATCCATGCGCTCCAACTTTGGCGAAACTCATCTCTGAAAGGTTGATGGAGACTCATCTATGGGAGACTTGACCATGCCGCTACCATCACTGGTCCAAGTTCGGGTACTGTACAAGTGTCGCTGAAGAGGCGGGGGGAACGGATGCCTGTCCAGGTCGTCTAGCGACAGAATGTGCACTGGTGTAGGCTTCCCATTGTACGAGCGTCGTCAGATGTGGGCTGTGTTCAGCCATGTGCTGACGAAGCCGCGCAGAAGTACCACAGTGGGCTCATGTCGGACAGTCGATCTTTATTTCTCGTGTTCAGGTCCACTTTATGTGGACTTGGTGATTGTAGGATGGTGCATCGATCGTGCGATATTCGCTCTTGAAGTTCATCCGAAGGAGTCTGGATGCTGCATGTGCAGAGCCACGCAAAGAGCGCACATGTACCGTCGGGAACGGCTTGGGAGCTTTCCGAGCCTCTCATCGTGATGGCGATTGTGATTGGACGCTGTGGGGATACGACTCGAGCGGTTGGCTCTCAAGGTTGGCTGCTGTCTCCGTCTTCTGGACCTCGTTTCCATGATACGTCATAATCCACTAGAGCTCCTTTGGCCTAAACAATCCACTTTTGATCACAGCCCCACTTTCCGTCTCGGCTTCCGAGGCCTTCCGCACCACCACCACCACCACCACCACTAGCAGAAGAATGCCACCACCGTCCATATATCTCCCGAAAACCCGTCTTCCAGTCCGTCAAATTTACATCCGAAGATTTGTATTCTAGCGAGGTATATACAGTGACGGAAGCCAGACACCTCTCTATTACGTTTCAGTCCACGTCTTGAGAATTCAACGACAGAGTGCGATCAGCAAATTTGATCAGTAATGCTGTGATTCCCTCCAAAGCGGTTGGAAGCCGAAGTTCAATCAACAACGGCTATCCCACTGCTGCAAGTTCTGTGTGGTGATCCCGAAGCGCCCGTGCTGACTTTGCTGCGATCCAGCTCAGGTTCTGCGTGCGCACTTCCACGGTCTAGCCCCATCATGCAGGCTGGCTGCAGGGCTGATCGGAGATTATATTTCGGTACAGTGCGTCTGGTACAACAGCCAGTCAGCAGTAGTTAGGAACATGGAACATGGATCATGAATGCGTCACCTGCAAGATCGGCTGAAGCGTACTAACTGCTTTTGTTGTGTGCTTCGCGAGCAACCTGCTAAGATTGATTCACTATCGTGTATAGTTGTCAGCGTATGCGTTCCACGACCTGTTCCAGTATTGAAGTCAATGATTAGACTGCAGGATACAATTCACGGTACTCAAAACCGATCCCACGCTACAAACAGCACATAGCTCATACCTGCAAACGTTCTCTACACGTTATCAGCCCGACATAATACCATTATCAAGTCGTGCTTTGTTCGCCCCTTTACGCGCACAGCAACACGAAACGACAGCGACGAAATAAGAATGAATCAAGCAAAGCAAAGGCCAAACAGGTTGCTGCAACAACATGGCGATTTGCGCAAAAGCAAACGGCGCAATAGCTACCACTATAGCAAAAGTAGCAAGGATGCATTTCGAGCAACAGTGGATCACCAAGTACATTGCATCAGGAGAGTTGATCTCTCCGTAATGCAAGCAGACCAAGACCTAGCCAATAAGCATGATGGGAAATTCCAGGTCCAGACGACAAAGAGCAGACTCAGTCAAGCCTGAAGACTTCGAGCCAGCATCTACCGTACACGGTACGAGTCTTTTGTACTCTCGCGGATCAAAATGAACCCTGCTACTACGAACGCTCACACGCTACGTAGCGCGAGTGCAAAGACGTGAAATCAGATGATGCGGCGGAAAAGACAATTGTAGCAAACAGTGAGTACCCAAGATGCAAAGGTAGTGCAGTAGTGGAACATGCTGGTATGACTATACAAACCATTCCTTGGATATAATTTAGCCTTGGATGACACGAGAGAAGTTGAATGGGAGAAAGATCTTAAGGACCAGTGAGATATGTTTCAGTCCGGGAGGGGAAGGAACACCACGGTCTTGAATGGAGAAGTATGACAGTCGCGATCTATCATAAGGCACAATACCAACCTCAAAAGGCAATTGCCTTGCGAACCTCACGTGTGGACCATCTCTTTTTCACCTAAATCTCACGTTGCCACACACTCCTCTTCTTACAACGCTCTGTAAACGTTTACTACACCTACGATCACCACGACCTACGACCATCCTTATCGGAATTGCATACACCGCTCCTACTTACCACTACCGCTACCCCCAGGCGTCCACTCTCACCTCAGTGCACTCACCTATCCATATGTGGCAATGAGCATTCTCTTCCTAGCCTGTCTCCTAGCAATCTGCCTCCCAATCCTCAGTGTACAGCTTCCTCGATTGCTCCCCCACCCAATGCACCATCTCCGTATGTCAAAAACCACACCACAACGCCACCCCTCCATACACAATCCAATATCAGCATTTGAAATCCAAAAATCAAGCCAAGAGTACCCACTGAGCCCAACTCTAGAAAACCGATCCGCGCTACACAAACAGCCACCACCCCTACGACGGCGCCTACGACCGCGAGGGCCAGCCCCAACGCCGCGAAGTAGCGCACAATACGGGGGAAGGGAGGCGTTCGCAACGGACGGTGCGGACAGCGGAGTCCCGTCGACGGGAGAGGAGTCGGGCGAGTGGACGGGGAGCGAGGAAATCCACCGACTGCCGCCCTACCCGACTGCAACGACGGGATTACTGAAAGCAGGGGACCTGAACAAGGGCAAGACGGAAGAGAAAGATAAAGGCAAGGGGAGAGCGGATGCGAGGAAGCCTTGGGACCCGCCGTTTGGAAGGCGCAGGGAAGGGATGGGGAAGAAGGAAATGAATGAGAGACAGATGGGAGGGAATAAGTGGTTTGCGAGCTCGCCTGTGCCGCTGAAGAAGACGGGGAGGGATATGGAGGCCAAGGGTGTTGCGAGAAGGTTGTTTCCTGCTGATGACGAGGGCGAGTATCCGTACGACCACGAGCCACACGACGGGCTACTTGAATCACATCGTGAAGATACGCCTCGACTTACATCCACGCCTCCACCTGCACCTGGAACGAATGATTGTGCATCCACCGATGCTGCGAAATCGGGGTCAACGAAGGAGAAAACCAAGAGAAAACCAAGCGCCATGTCAGCCATTTGGATATGCGTCGGCGTCTTCGCAGTCTTGGTCACCATCTTCGTCTTCGCAATCCTAATCGCTCACTGTTTAGCATGGTTCCTCGTATCCAAAACTGAAGCCAGATTAGGCGAAGCACGGCGCGGCATCATGCAAGGTGGGGAAATGAGATTATGCTTATGCGCAGCGTGATGAAGTAGAAAGACGCCCTATTTGTTCTATTGCCACCACCCGCTATGAACGCTAAATAAATCAAAGGACAAATTACCATTTTGAAGACGGACAATAAAGCCATCAATGTAATGAAATCAGATCATCTTAACAGTCGTGATCTTCACCGTTGGCAGCAGGTGCATGACCCGTCCTCTCCAATAACTCCTGCTCCTGCCGCGGCGACCGCCTCGAACTCATAGACTTTTCCTTCTCTGAATCCCTGCTGTCTAGCCTCCCATCTATGCCGCTGAAATTCTGCTGGCTCTCGCTAAAACCAGAGTTTGTTCTGCTGGCGAGTTGCATGGCATCTGCCATGGCATGTGCGGCGACATTAGGACGCTCAACTTGGGAAGCCGTCTCGGGGTCCTCGGGCGGCTTGAACAGTGCGGCCTCGTGGTCGTCAAAGTCTTGGCCTGGATTGACAGTTTGGTACTCGACTAGCTTGACAATGCGGTACATGCCGAACGCGAGCAGAGTGCCCATGAGCGGTCCGAACCAGTAGATGTAATGGTAGCCAGGGAAGTTGTGTGTGACAACGCATGGTCCGAAGCTTCTCGCTGGGTTCAGGCTGCCGCCGGTAAAGAACACACCGACCATTTCTGCTACGAAGAGCGCTAGACCAATGCCGATTGGTGCCAGATATGTGGCCTTGTGCTTCTCGGCTGCGAGCATGAAGATTGTGAAGACGAGGAGGGAGGTGAGGAACATTTCGAGGAAGACACCGCGGGCGGCGGAGACGCCTGCACCGAGGGTTGTGGAGACGTTGAGGGGACCGGGGATGATGGCTTGGATTACGCCGGCCGCGGCCATGCCGGCGAGCATCTGGGAGAGGAAACAGAGGCATGCGCGAATGGCTGGGATGGCTCCGATGAGGTAGAGACCGAGTGTCACCTGTGGTCATGGTCAGCCCATCTTCCAGACGTTTTGATGCCATCAGGCTAACTTACAGCAGGATTGAATAGTCCTCCGCTCACTCTGAAGAATACCCACACATTGACCATCAGACTGAAGCCAAAGATCAGACTAATGTACAGCAGCACACTGGTGTCCGGCGCCTGCGTGATGCTGTTGTTGTTTTGTCCAGAGGTTGTTCGATTGCTGTATGTCGCTGCCGTGTTGGCTACACTTGTTCCTCCAAACGCAAAGAATAGGAACATGAACGTGCCTGCGAACTCTGCTGCTGCGGCAACAAGTTCATTGCGCCACCGGTTAGGTATGAAGCCGGATCTCGTGGGGTGACCTGGAGGAGTACCATCCTTCGGCAAGGTTTTAGGCTTATGAGACGATGAAGACGCGTCTTTCTTGTGTAGCGGAAGGATGTTCTTGAGCGCCATCACGACGGCTAAGACTGAAGGCTAGCCGCAGTCGTTAATTGTCGATAGTAATGGTGCAAAGCAAGAGTTTCTACGCTTGGCCAAAAGACACGAATGCCACCAGGCTGAAAAACAGTAGAAAGAGAACTAAAGAAGATAACTTCTATAGCTCACGGCTGAAGTTAATGCAAAACCACCACAAGAACAGATCTACCTTTTCGCTAGCAAACCTGACGTCTTCCACAAGCCTGAGCGCCATAATGGTCTGCGGGGTTCTGACGCGGACTACATGAGACCAGCGGTTCACCCGCCATGGCGTTGTTGAAAGTCCAATAGGCAGCCGCACGTCTCACATTTGGCGGTCCTTTGCGCGATGTTGGCCGCAAGCCACGATCATCAAGTCCAGCCACACGGTGTCAATCCCTGCGTTGAAACCCTTCATCCCCGATCATGGCACGCCCGCGGAGGTGGATAGCGGTGCATGATGCAGCGGCCGCTGTGGCGTGAGTGGTCAGAAGTTCGTGATGGAGAGGATGTGCCGTACGGGATGTGTTCAGATCGCCGGCTAGTGACGACACTGCGCTGCTTGCGGGTTAGCGAGACGGGCTAGTGGACATGATGTCACGAAAGGGTGCATCTTCAGATCGTTTGCTCGTTTGGTGTCCGTGGCTGTGGAGACTCTCCGCGCGCTCCAATGCTAGTTTCATATTGAGAATTACGACATCTACAACTGTCAAGAAGGGTGGTGTCCGCTTTGTGGCTTAGCTTTTTTGCCATGTTGCACGGTCGTGATGCAGAGAAGATGTTCTCCCGCAATTCACTCAAGTCGGCGACAAGGCGAACTTATTGAAGATCTACTGAGTTTATGCGCGGATGGCTGGAAATAGCGGTTAGCGCTCGTCAAACGCCACTGGGCCTCCCTACTAAGGCAGCTGTTGAGCCCTGCGAACGCAAAACTGGGTTAGCGTTCCAGAAGACCCTTTGTGCAACGCTTCCAAGGTTCCAGATCAATAGTGCCATCGGTTAGAAGTATCGTCAAAATCGAGGCTCTCAAGAGATGCTTTCTTTATGTGACTGGGATCTTGGCATTGGAAGAGCTTGCTGACTGCGCTGCAGGTTTGACGAGGTTTGAGCGTCTGGCAACACCACTCAACAGCGTATTCATTCACAGCCTGTCCACGATAATCAATACTACCGCCATTCCGTAATGCTTTGCTCCAGAGAAAGATCAGCACCTTCCTGTCGCCCTCCAAGCTTCTCATCGCTGTTTCTCCGTGTCTATCTCGATCACAAAGTGATATACTAATATCTGTTCCTTTGATATTATTCACATTCGCAGGTCATCGCGCACATCTTCTACGTCTCTTTGTCGATTCGGCATGCTCAAGGTCCATTGCTTTTGCGACAGATTTGTTTCTTCAGCGCTTGTATCCTTGCGCTGAATCTCAGCTCTTCCACTACTCTCTTGCTCTCAATTGACCTCCCATTCCCGTCCATAACCAGTGGAAATTCCTAGAGAGACTCAGATGTTGGGGTCACTTCGCGCTGGAACAGACGCGACATTAACCCTTCTTCGCCCCGTCTACTATCAAAAGGCATTCTCTTTGGACACGCCGTCTTACTCGTCTCCCCGGCCGCGCATCGTCCATTAGCTCTTCGTCGGTCCATTCTTTGTCTTTGACCTCGACTGTGTCCCAGTCACTCTGCTCATCGGCTTCTGGCTGTACTACCGATGTGTCAAGTATCTCGGTGTCATGTTCTAATAAAAGCCGGCTTGCCTGTGAATCTAGCTGGGATGTGGATTTACACCTGAAGGTCAGGGTAGGTCTCTTAGACAAGGATATGGTACATACATACTGCATGGTTCGATCGAAGTGTATGTTGCTTTGCTGTAATAGAGGTAATGGTGATGTAGGGCGGTTTGAGCAGAGGTACCAGAATACTGGCAATGTATGGGTACCATTTCTCCGCTCGCTGTGAAGGCATGGAGCAGTCAGTACTCGCACAGTGGAAGACAAGGTGAAGTCACAGCGAAGCGGATACAGTGAGTTATATCTGGCTGTATAGAATACTGAAAACTAACGTAGACGCTACGACTTTGTGCGGTGCAGGAACGCGTGCATTGTAGACCCTCCAAATTCCTCCTCGCACGCTGAGCTCGTATCCCGGCATGAACGCGACACTGCCATCGTGAAGATGGTACGTGGGCTCACTGCAGTCGTCAGCGCCAGAAGCATTCACTATTGCCCAGTATCTTGCACCTGTATTTTGTTCCGCACCTTCACGAACACTAATACCAGAGTAAGTTCTTTGCAGCGACCGCAGTCCCTCTCAAACCGCATGTATGCTTGTAGCGAGATCATGACAGAGGTGGAACAAGGATGTCATGCAATGATCACAACGAACAAGATAAACGTTAAAAAAAAGACCGAACCGTGAAACTCGTGTATTGAAATAGAGAAAGACGTCGAGTCTTCCCCAGTGGAAAGTGGTATCCTCGCTTCCAAATGCAATCATAACCCTCCTCTCCTCTCTCACCCACTTGAGGAACTAATCCGACGAACTGGCTCAGCTAGACAAGACACTGGAAACGATGATGACGAAAACGAGAAAGACGAACGAAGACATGACAAGCTTTCGCAGGATGAGGGAGAATAAGAGCACCCCAAAAAAAGAAGATGCCAAGGACTAAGGCTCGTCATCAGGAAAGATGTCTCGGTCCACCACCATCACAATAGCGTCGTCGGGCCTCATCATGCCAGCGCCGAACACCACCACATTGTCAACCTCCCTAGCTGCCTCAACTGCATCCGTCTCGTCCATCAAGTCCTGCGCCGCCTGGATAACGTTCCTCAGTTCCTCTTGTACGTCCCTGTTCGTCGTCGTCGGAGTTGCGACCTCCCTCTAGAACGTCTCCTCCTCAGCGCCCTCGGCCTCGGGCGGGATCTCGAAACCTTCCTCGGTGGAGTAGAGAATGGTTTGAATCTGCTTGAGCAAGCCCTCGTCCTTTTCAAGCTCGGGATCCGCTTCCATGGCCTGCTGAATCAGCAGCTCAATGTCGCGCAGCTTGCTAAAGTAAAAGTCGCGCTCGCGCTCCAGGCCCGTCACCGTCTCCTTGAGCGCCGTGTTTTCCTCGCGCAGGGCGGCGCTCGCGGCTCCTCCGCCAGACGCCAGGGGTGTGCGGGTACGCGGTGCGGCCGTGTTGGAGGCAGCGGGTGCTCGTCGGGCGGTCGAGGCAGCGGCGCGGGGAGCGGCTCCCGTGGCGACGCCGCCCTGGCCCTTGCGGCGGGCAACGGGGTCGTATTCGTGGCCTGGGAAGTGCTGGTCCCAGTACTGCTTGACGAATTGGAGGAACTCGAGGTTGTCCTGCATCTTGCACTTTACGAGCGACTCGACGCGGATGGGCTTGTCGATCTGGTGCTTGGCGAACGTGTCTAGCGTGCGTGTTAGGGGAATTGCAGTACAGCGTGTTCACTGTGAGAGAGACATACTCTGTAATACCTTGAAGTTCTGCAGGTATGCATACTCAGTGTTGGCATTGAACTTGACTCGCGACATAGGCACATCGTCTGTTGTTCCACGCTGTTAGTCTTAATCTCGCCTCGCGCACACACACACAACAGGTGGGAGGCTTACAGAATATGCTGTCGAAGACCTGGCACAGTGCTGCTCTGTTCCGCCATGTCAGTACACGTCCTCAGGCCCTGGACCCTGATGCCCCTCTGTGCCTTGGCTCGGCGCGTCTGACGTACCCGGTACCGCATTGTTCGACTTTGGTGATGTTGAGCTGGAGGAGGTTGTTCAACCAGGCCACGAGTTCTTGTCTGTGCACGTCTTGTCAGCCTATGCTCTGCACATGTCGTCTCTCCATCGCAGCCTAACCCCTCGGAGACCGTACCTTGATTCTCCCATGGCGGATATGCCTTTGTGCTGACGTCTAAAACTTTGTTTTGAATGATCAGCAATGAGATAAAAGCATAGACTAGAGTGTCTGTGTACAGAGGTGGCGCTGGAGGCGGTGGGCGAAGACGATTGCTGTTATTTGTTGATGCGCCTGCCCCGTCGGGGAGTCGACAATTTGGGCGCCGTTGCCCCACCAAGTTCTTAGCGCCGATGCCATAGCGTTCCACGTCACGTGCTGCACACTCTACTGACACGAGAATTTCTATGAGCTGATCCGTCATGGGACATCATGGACTTATTTACACCGCTATCGCCCTTCCCCAGTCTTGCTTCCATCTATGCCGCAAACTCTCTCCCAACAACAACCCTGTCAGTTCTCGCAGCCTCAAAAGCCCTCACAACCGCAGGATACCACACGTTCGCCATTTTGACGTCGCCACTATCATTTGGATGTACTCCGTCCCTCAGATCCGCACTCCCACTAAACCCCGTATACTGGTCTACAACCCAGATGGGGCTCTGCGTCGTATTAAGACCTTGCGCCCAGGGCACGATCGCGCGGTTCAGTTCCTGGACCTTGCCGTTGTAGTTCCCGATGCCTAGGGGGATGATTTGGGCAACCTGAGATGTCAAGGTAAGCAGGTGTATGTCTGACACTGTGGCATAGGCATATGCTGGGTAAGAGAGACGTACGATGATCTTCATCTTGGGATTCGACGTCCGCATAGTGCCAATGAGTTTGGTGAACGCAGCGATAATGTCCGTTACCGCTTTGTTCTGCTGCACGATATCGTTTGTGCCCAAGTGCATGGTGATGACATCTGCGGGGTTCGTCTTTAGCCATCCGTCAAGCTGGTTCTTATTCGCGATATCGATGGCGAGGAAGCCTAGAGTTTGATTTACCGAGTCAGTTTATTTCTCCAATGCATTTCGTATATGGGCATAGTGACCAGAGTGTCCTTCATTGTCGCGGTCATAGGTCGTGTCGCGGCAGTTGTTCTCCGTCTTGCCACTGCCAACGAAGTTGACGTTTGCCCACTCAGTGGTACGAAGCCGCTGCCACAGTTTTGATCGCCAGCAGACTATTTCCGTTATGCTGTCGCCAAAGGGCATGTAGCGAATTGGGGTTGTGTTGTTTGTCGACTGAGCTGAAGCGATTGCGAGGAGAGCAATGGCGGAGAGGCACTTGAGGGATACCATTGTGACGGCTGCGGGATTATGGGAAGATGTTCGTATCTGTGTATCGCTGTTGCTTCTGTATCATGTCTAGTAAGTTGGCCTGACCGCCTTCTTATCTTCTCCTCTTCCATGTTGTCGACAAGGACGCCTCGCAACAAACCATCTATCGCGCACTCTAACATCGTTTGCAGCATATGAAGATGACATCTCCATCACTCTTGATGCATCTATACGCACCTAAACGTACATCGTAGCCACGGAGAGAAGGAGATTTTCGTGACGCGACCGACATTTGCATGCCGCTACGTGTTTCCGGGGCACTATGTGCGAGGCTAAATGCAGCTGCCGGACGACCGTTAATTTACGCGGGACATACACCCTGCAAGAGGCGGCATGAAGGCGGGGAAAGAGCCTCAGACTTGCTTCGACACTGCAGCATTGTGTGGACGTCAAAGCATGATGCGATACCATCAAACGGCACAGACTTTCGGCACTAACACCATATGACAATCGCAAGAAGAAGTCGTGGAAGGTCGGTACAACGGGCCATAGGGCAGACGGATGTTGCACTTGTGGGTCTGCGCTGTACGGAGAAATTAGAGGTGCCTGCGAATATCTCAAGCGATATTCTATTGTCATACTGTTCAACCCCGCTCGTCGTGTTGCACGTGCATTTCTCATCCGGCGCTTGCACACAGTCCTGCGGGTATCTGGTATACTGAACGGCGTTCTCACTGAACACCACCAACACCGATATCACCAACATCACCAACTATCGCACATCGTCAACCGTCACGTGCGAATGGAAGGAACCAACAAACGAATGTGAGGACCATAAAAGGTCTACCCGTGTAGTACTTGCTATGTACAAATGTATGCGCTATCGTATTCAGAAGACTCATCCATTGGGCGCAGCTTATATCTTGTTCAATTCCCGACCTCGTCACTTCATGTCAGTACAAGGAAGCAAGGAAGCTCCGTGTTCGCCAGTAAGACACAGTACCGTCATACCATGACACATTCAACGGCAGGTGCCAAGGCAAGACCTAACACCCACCGCTCGCGAAGCTTCTAGAGCCAGAAGTCGAACCACTTCAACGCCTGAATATACGCCGACTGCTTTGCATACTTCTGCCTGGGGATATTGGCATTGACTCTAACTCCAAATCCGTGGGGGGCGCCCGAGTACAGTGTCTGTTCGTACGTCACATTGTTACCCGTGAGAAGACGGTCGGCGTCATAACGTTGCGTAATATTGAAAGTTGCATCAAGTTCTAAATCACCGCGTCAGTCTGCTTACGAACACGCCACTGCAAGAGCCACTCACCACCAGCCGCGATACTAATTGGGTTTACAATCTGGGCGATCTCGGCGTTGGAAAGTACGCTCGGATGCGCAGTGAAGCCCAAATCAACACCCTTGCCTTCGGCCAAGAAGCGGGCTACATATCTGCCTCCAAAGCAATATCCGACGGCCCCGATAGTCTGGATACCAAGGTCATCGCGCATGTATGCAATCGTCTTCTCGATGATGGGATCGACGTTGGCGGGCTGGTGGTTGGGAAACCACGCGGTCAAGTTGAGCTGGCCTTCGGGAATGTCGCTAGGAATTGCGTCGCCGGCGAACAGATCTGGTATCACGGTAAGGTATCCTGCGCGAGCATATGAGTCTGCAAGCCTAGAAACACGAATTAGCTTTCCATAGTTTGCAAAGCTTTTGCTGCGCGCAAACTTACAACTTGTTTTGGAGGAGCGGGATTCCAAAGATGTCGGATATGAAGAGGATCACGTTGCTGCTATTCGTCTTGCTGCGATGGTCCGGGTACGCGTGGTACATTTCAACTTTGATATTTCAGAGCTGCTCACAACGATCAATTGGTCCCGAGACGGACTTACTTCCGCTGATGTTCTTGATCTCGCCCTTTGGTTGGCCTTCGCTGATCACAGATGGAAATAGAGATACTGGCTCCTTCCAGGCGAACGCAAGGGTCGATGTCGCAAGCGCAAATGCACAAGCGCGGGCGAGCTTCATCGTCATGTTGGTATGGAGAAACGTGGACCGGAGAAGTTTGGGATTGATACAAGCAAAGTAGCGACGGATGTCCGAGATAGATATGCCTTTATACCTGTAGTCTCAAGTAGACTGCCTTCCTGATTCTCCTACAATCGGTCATCACGCCTTCCGATTTGCGGAAAAGCGGACGGGTAAGTAAACATCCAACTGCGTCATCATCCCGGTACATCCAGGTTGGCACACGTGATGGTATTCAGGGGAGATAGCCCTGGAGATGTAATTTCGACGAGCTACGCGGCAAGATTACAAATGTAGATCTTTACTGTAGCTGTCAGCTCTGTGCATTAGCGGCTTGTATGTCTTGGCACCCCTCTCTTCCAGACTTGGATCTATCCTCCTTACAAAGCCTGATGTAAGGTACCGTGTACGCATCTCTGCATAAGGGACGGGAGATCCGCATGGTAGAGTGATTTTGCGTGGACGCCTGCCTCTGCCCTTGCTCTAGCGTTTGTGCAGCGCTTCTGTTGCAGCGCGATGATTGTTGAAATCGTGGTTTTGCCGAACGGCGGTTTTGAGTGAACAAGCTGTTCACTAAAGACCGAAAACACGCTAGAACTGTTTTGACCAAAGGCTAAAGCTAAGCCCAAACTCGCCTACCTTGTAGTCAGCATGTCGCATAAAGAGGCTCCATGTCCAAGGTCAATGGAGTGCGATACGCACTAGTTTCAATATGGCGCTGCAGAACCCTCATTCAGATGCATCCAACATGACGATCGTACCGACATCGCGTATACCTGATGCGATCAGCAAAGAGGAAGACTGGAGCGGAAAACCAAGCTCAGAAAGACGCAAGCTTCAGAATCGACTCAATCAAAGAGCTCGTCGTAAGTGCCTCATATACATGCATCCGAACGCTGAGAGTAACAACTGCAAGGTAGAAGAAAATTCGAGGCGTCGAACTCGACTCTTGCCTTGATATCCCAGAGAAGCCGCGCGCCTCCAAAGGAACTACTTGCCTCGTACTTGGAATTAAAAGCGTCGGGAATGACCGACACATTGATCACTCCAGAACTGGAACAAGTCATCCGTCAATTCGCAGATGCAGCATATATCCGATATCTGCAAAATGCGCCCCTCTTATCTCATCTACCTACTATGATCCACCTGAACATTCTAAATGCTCTAGCCGGCAATGCTTCGGTTCTTGGTCTTTCAAAGTCATGGCTGCTTTGCGACTCTGTATCTCCTTTGACCCAGCATAGACCGCTCGAGCTCGCGTGCCCTCGTGTCCTGTTTCCCACGGTGCTACAACTGACCACTTCGCACCACCCATGGGTGGATTTGTTCCCTTTACCTCAACTCCGAGATAACATCCTCCGGGCAGCTTTACAAGACCCGCACTTTGATGAAGATGAGTTGTGGTTCGATCTTCTGGAGACAAAGTGCGCTCCTGGTCGTGCTGAGAGTCCGTCGCTTCTGGTATGGGGCGAACCTTGGGATATTTGGAAGTGGGAAGTCAATAATGAGTTTCTGAGGAAATGGAGTCATCTACTGGACGGATGTACGACGTTGTTGGAGTCTACAAACAACTGGCGAAGAAGGAGAGGTGAGAGACCCATCTCATTCTCGTCAAATGCAACTGAGAGCCGTCGATGATGTAGCGGTCTTGCATTACTGCTACTGCTGGAGTGAACATCAATCGACGTCCTTCCGCATGGCGACCATGAACAGACGGTGTGCAAGGGCATATTGACAAGGAGCCGGGAATATGCTGGAGTTGCAGATTATTACGATGAATATGTTTTGGATGAGCAATCATCAAGAGTCAGTGTCGAGACAATGCCTTCATGTAAGTGCTTTCCTAATCGGTCTTAGCCTCTGTCAGCAGTTTGCACTGTCTTGGCATCAACGACGTCAAGCAGTTCTACGATCTTTGCTCAAGGCATTCGTAATGCTTTTCAGCCTCACATGTATATGCTTGATTAAGGGCATGGATAATACGACCTTGCGAGTTGTTCGGCGCCATTCGGTGAGGTTGTGTCAACGTTTTGACCCATCATGACAGGGACAGTGCGATATCTTGGAAGATTACATGCCTTCCAGGTATCGAGTCCGTCGGAATGACCGAGATATGTATGTAACCTGTAAGGTAGTATGTGGACCTGCCAAATCGCACTAGTTACCCATCGAAGGATATAAAGACGACCGTCGTCTACGCAATAACAGGTCGCAAATTTCATCTACCTTTTCCACCATTGCATTACTATCCCAGCAGTGCTACCGCAGAATGAGGGCTACATTCTCTTCTATTATCGCAACAAGCATGATAACGATGTCGACCATGGCACAGAATCTCTCGTTCGGAGCAGACAACTTCTATCGCAGCAACAACGTCACCTTAACCCCCATCAGTTTCCCAACACTTTACCACTCCGACGTCGCTGGCAACATCTTCGTTCCACACGATCTCAACCGTACCGACGCACCAGCCATCATTGTTGGCCACCCTTTCGGTGCAACAAAGGAGCAGAGCGCAAACCTCTACGCTCAAAAGCTAGCAGAGCAGGGCTTCGTCACCGTGTCCCTCGATCTTCCGTTCTGGGGCATCAGTGTAGGCACACCGCGCAATGCCGTTCTGCCCGACCTCTATGCAGAGGCGTACAGCTCCGCGGTAGATTTACTCGGCACGCAAGAATTTGTCGATCGAGAGAAGATTGGCATTGTTGGTGTTTGTGGCAGCGGCGCATTCGTCATCAGTGCTGCCAAGATTGATTCCCGAATCAAAGCTGTTGCAACAGTCAGCATGTAGTAAGGCATCTCTATCCAAGCTGCGTTTGAGACATGCACTAACTACATACACCCACGTTTAGCAACCATGGCATGCTCCATCGCACTGGCTTAGGGAACTCCCGAAACCTCACACAACGCCAGGACTTCATCGCCGCAGCAAACGCACAGCGCTGGGCCGAAGTAGATGGCAGCTCTATCGCCCACACCGATGGCGCACCACACACGACAAATTCAACTCCAGTCGGGCTTGAATTCTATGACTTTTACCGCACTCCTCGCGGGGAGTACACGCCCGAGGGTATTTCACGGAACATCACTACCGATCCAACGACGTCGAGCAATGTCAAGTTCATCAACTTCTACCCGTTTGAGGATATCGAGTCCATCTCGCCTCGTCCGATGATGTTTGTTGCGGGTGATCAGGCGCATTCGAAAGAGTTTAGCGAGATTGCTTTTGCGAGGGCGAGTGAGCCGAAGGAGATGGTCTGGGTACCGAATGCTGGACATGTTGATCTTTACGATCGCGCAGAGCTCATTCCGGTTGCGACGCTCACGAAGTTCTTTCAGGAAAATCTACAGTAGAACATTTGTGGATGGTGATCTCGTAGAAATCGCGGCTGCGATGACCCTTCCTGTTCATATGAGGCGACCTTGTCATCGACGGCGTTGATATGAATATGGTAGTTGTCAGTGATCTGTGGCCCGAGGGTCATACTTGGCAAGGCTGTTCACCGCTCTGGTTCAGGTTGAGTATGTATGTACACCATCTTTTAACATCACATCCTGTCATCATACTTCCCCTTCCCATAAATTTCAACCTACTTCCCGAATACATCGTCGTGATTGCCGATCATGGCGAGCCCTCCATGCGGTCTCCATCCTTTAACCTTCCACTCCCCACTCTCTATCTTGACGTACGTGAACTCCAGAAACGAGCTGTTATCCCACTCGCCAACATGTCCATCGGAAAACTCTCTCACGTGCCATGCGCGAACTTGCCAGATTCCTTTGGCTTCTGAGGTGCTCGTGCGAGTGAACATGCTACCACCAAGGAGGTGCTGGGTTTTGACTTGGAATGGTGTTATTGAGAATATGCAAGATATATTGCAGATGAAGAGAAGAAAGAAATAAGGGGGGTCGTGATGGTGGGTGAAACGTACGGTCTGGATGCCCTAAGCCTTCTGTCCTGAAAGCGCTCTCGAAGAATTGCTTGGGAGGGCACTTTCGAACTGTCCCCACAGCAGGAAAATCGGAGTAGTCTGCAACTATCTCCGGTGCTGTTATTGTGAGGAAAGTCGGTAGATCCTAGTATCACTATCAGTACATTGCTACGAAGCGGTTCTTGCGCATCTCAAGTTAGTGTAAATACCTTTTTGTCCCACGCGATCGACCATCTGAAGGAAAGTTCGCGGAAAGAACGCTCGTCCTCGAAAGAGTTGAAGAGAGTTGAAGTGGTCATTTGTGCCAGTTTTTCTCTTCGCACGTATAGAGATCAAGAGCGTTTTTCATGCATGTGCGGTACGCTGGTCCGTTTTATACCTTCATGGACATATCAGATATGGAAATAAATTACCATAAAAGCTGCTACGCTTTCCTCTTCCAGGCGCCCTTTACAAGTACCGAGACACCGACTGAAAACGAAATCCAGCTCTCACAATTGGCTGTAGGAGAACGAGGCTTTGGTCATGGCGTAAATCTGTTTAGCATCCCTTGATGTTCAAGACAGTGAATGTCGGACGTTGGTAATGCCGAATGCCGAGATTAGTGCGACCTTTGCAAGCTTTTCGTCTAGGATCAAGAATATTTGTTATGTAATTCTGTAATCATCAATCGTAAGTCATCACGTCGTAGCCTACACCATCCCATCACATGATATGTAGCCTCGCCTCTTCGTATCCAAGCCGATCCTTAGCCCGCTCACAAACAGGCCATCTAGAAAAGGCCTAGAAACTCTCCCTCTTGACCGCAAGGAAGGTCAAACTCCAAAGCTGTCGAATGTTGCTCTCGGTCGAAGTCAATGAGCCAAGCTGCGCCACCTGGAATCCGTTATTGTACTGCCAGCTCCAGACTTCATGGCTGAGCTGATCGCGGTTGGCATCAATGGTATCCCACAGGCTGTTGTAAGCACGAACAACCTTATCATGAACCTCGGAGTTTGTGCAGAATTCTAAAAGAGGGCGTCAGCAGAGTTTATGATGCAGGAAAACATTAGTAGCTTACCAGGAGCGTCGTCCCTCGCGCATCGACCCAGTTGTCGTGCCAGTCCAGCACCCATCATTGCGAGTTGCCAGCTCCAAACCACAGTCCCGTGGTAATCTGTCTTTGAGAAGCCTGCAGCAAAGCCTGCGTCTCCGGCGTAGGCTGGGTTGGCAACGAACAAGCCAACGTTGCTCGATAAGCCTACCGGGAATGGTTGAAGAATGTGAGAAGCAGTCTGGTCGATATATGACGTCAGCTGGGTTTGGTTCGTGGTGTCCAGGAAGAAGTGACGGAAGCAATCGTCGGTGTTCATGACAGGCACGACTGGTGAACCAACATTGCCATCTAGGGCGAGACCATAGTAAGTGACATCGCCAGCAATACTATCGGCGTTGCTTGGTACACCAAGGTTTGCGGCGGAGACATAATTTTGCACAAGAGATTTGGCAGTGGCTTGCGGTACGGTGACCTGGAAGAATTGTAGCGTCTCGTCTTCCCAGATCTGGGCGTACTGATCAGCCTTTTGAGACCAGTCTGGGTGGTCTGGGAAGAAACCTGCACCACTCAGGCTAGCGATAGCCCGAAGACCTGCTGGTACAAGCGCCGTGTTAACGTCGTACGGTATGCGGCCCCCTCCTAGGCCGTTATTGGAGTCGCGCCATTCACCAACAGATTCGCCCTGGTTAAGTTTGATGAGATTATCTTTTACAGGACTTTGCGCAAACGGTTCAGCGATCCGCATGATCTTTTCGGCGGTAGTTTGGGCCAGCTGAGAGTAAGGCAGCCCGTCGTTCTCGGCGAGAAACGTTGCAGTCTTGCGGAAGAAAGCATCGGAACGTTGCTTGCCAGCGTCTGTATCTACAAAGTAGCTCTTCATAGCGACGGGGAGCATGAAATCGCTGTCGATCATCTTGTAGTCACAGCTGGGCGCACTAGAATCAACTCCCTTCTTTTTGTTCAGCCAAGTCGAGTAGTCACCAATAACCTCTTCGTGACACACTGTGCCATCATTGCGGTTGATTCGCTCGATGACAGCTCCGATGACAGCTTCAATAGCGGCTTCGCTGAGAATAGATTGCATCAGGAGCAGTGACAGCATACTGTCGCGGCCAAAGTAGGTGAGGAAGCGCCAGGTGCCAGCTAGAAGTTTATCTGTGTATGACAGAAATGACAATGAGGTGGTTTGATCCGGGTTTTGCGCGATCAATCCCGAAGACGCATCATTTAGGACTTCCTGTGGGCTAAGCTGCTCCAGCTGTGGGTAGTTGTAAGAAGCTTCGAAGCTATAGCTCCCCGCGCCGAAAGTCAAAGTCCATGCTGCTTCGCGGTTGAGCGTGATAGCTTGGGCACCATTCAAAGGCGAGAATTTCAGCGTGGTAGTTGTTACGCCGTCAAACCAAGTGCGGTTGATCGATGCGCTGCCATCTCCGTTGATCGCGAATCCGAAGCTGTTCTGGAAGTCTTGACTGACCCCACCTCCCTCTGTGAAGTCGCGGATGCTTCGTATACTGCCCAGAATAGGTACGGTCAGTCTAGCAGACGTATCGAAGTTGATGGACCCTGAAACACCCACGCGGTCCGACGCGGTCAATGGCTTCACTGACTGTCCGTTCTCGGAATCTTCTAGCCTCATGGTCAAACTGCCCTGGCCGCTCTCAGGGGCAAAGAGCGCCATAGCGCCACTATTGCCAGCGGGCCATGCAACAAGCAGGCGAGGCTTGACAACGTTGAGATCGCTGTTGGGCTGAGGACTGGTGACGATAACGTGGGCGCTAGTATGACAGTCAGAATAGAAGTGGTTGTCCTGGGGACCGTCTTGAAGAGACAGCCTCGTAGCTGCTTCCGCGCATGGTGAGGATAGGTCAGTGGCAGGTGGAGGAGAGTTTGGTGACCCTTGAGGGTAGGCTAGGACGCCAGCTATCAGGGCGGCTGAACCCAGTACCGTCAATGCGACCATGGCAATTCTGATTGATACATTAACTGTTAGGTACCGCATACTGAGGGTCAGGAACTTACTTTTGTCGTTAAAAGATCCTCCAGTAATTCCAGGTTGTGGTAAGTGGTGATAGGTACGGCGAACGTCAAGTGCTTCACAAATACAATCTCGGTGATTGAAATACCAAGCAGGGTCTTCTATTACCGCTATTTCACATATTCCGGGCCGTGCGCACAAACAATAGAGTCAATACTTTTCTTCTTTCCTGGTCCATGCTTCACTTATATACTTTTCGACCCCATACCGCCCTGTTCATGACCCGCACGTGAAATGCTGTCACACGACACAAAAGAGTTGGACGTCATCGCGCGGGCCGTTAGTAGCCCAAGTCGTCTGAGATGTGAAGCTCGCCCTAGCTGCCTTGTGGAGAGACTTCATGATCACGATGGCTACTCCGGTGTCTTGTTTGTGGGGTAGAAAAGGGTTGGTTCGTTAGCCTTTGACCCGGTGATCTAACTTGCCGAGCGCTTAGACGGATCGGGTCGAGATCTACCCCGGGTCCACCACGCCGCATCGTGCGTCATGACCCGCGAACTTCATAGGACACCTGCGGCTTTTACAGCTTCCACAGGAACAGACAACGACCCTGCATGAGCAGCGCATTGAATGTTCATTTGCTTCTGCAAACAACTCAACCTTCTGATAACAGTATATGAATTCAAACTGCGTTGTCGTTAGAAGCACCACAACATTCCCGGCGCACTTCCGATGGAGCTTGCCAGCTCCAGTGCCAGTTTGTCAAGCATGGCTACAACGGGCTGCAAGTCTCTTACTAGAGGTTCATCATAGGCCAGAAGGCGGCGAGAGGAAATCAAGTACCTGTTTGGTTGCCACTCGTGGCTCGCTCTTGCAATCTCGTCATAGTCTGGGGGTACAGCAACCGAGGCTGTTCAGGTAGCGCTGAACCAATGGCGTAATATACAGAGTCTTCCTGTTTCCAAGTGGAACCTCACTGCCATCGTCTCCTGACTAGACGCGCAAGGTCTAGAGTAAGTCCTGTTAAGTAACGGAAGAGGTCAGCCAATCAGCGGTCGATCCTGATATGAGGTACAACATCGCCAAATCTGGGGTAATTACAGAATGTGTATGGGTAAACAATCATTACGAAGACCTTTGCCGGGCCCGATACCCTGGTTCACGGTCATCAAGAGATGCTTGTATCCTGCTCGGTGCCCTTTTTGAGAGTTCGGCGCGATTCACTTAAGCCGTACCCGTTCGCATCGCCCTCCTTAGTCCGACTCAGCTACCCAAGGCTTAACTGAAAATGCGACTTTCGAAGAAGATTCTATCGTCTTTCTTGATTACTACCGCGTATGCACATGGCCGAGTAACGCGTATAACAACTACTACCGGTGACACCTACAATGGTTGGGATCCCGCATCTTCGGATGACCTGATACCGCCACAGCCTCTTGCTGCATGGTCAGCATCGAACTTAGGCAAGATAGTTGCTTCATCGTGACGGTTCAACACATTTGACGCTGTCTAGGCAACATATACATCCCACCCTCTCAATTCAACACCACAAATATTTCCTGCCACTACAACGCCGTCCCCGGCGCTCTCCAAATTCCTATAACAGCCGGCGAGGAACTAAAGCTACAATGGAATGAATGGCCAACTTCACACGTCGGGCCTGTGATGACATATCTAGCACAATGCGAGGGCAGCTGTGCGGACGCAAAGAAAGACGACTTGGAGTGGGTGAAAATTGATGAGCTGGGATGGCTGAACAGTACAGGTTGGAACGTGATAGATCTAGGTGGAACATGGGCGGCGAATGTACTCATCGCGAATGGTTTTTCATGGGTGGTCAGGATACCAGAGGTGCTGGAGGAGGGAAGTTATGTGCTAAGACATGAGATTATCGCGTTGCACGTTGCGGAAAAGGTGGACGGAGCACAAGCATATCCGCAGTGCGTGAATCTCCGGGTGGCGCGAGGGACGGGTGGGGAGGGGAGGAGGTTGGATGGGGGTGTGAAGGGGGAAGAGTTATATGGGAGTAGCGATGAGGGTATACTAGTGGATGTACATAGGAAGATTGAGGGATATAAGATTCCTGGACCGAAGGTATGGGCGTATGCGACACCGCTTAAACAGGCCAATCAATAAGGTCTTCCTGGGAGACTAAGTCACATCCGGATCCAATGCTGTGATATCTAATCTTGATACTGATCAACTACATAGACCCTGATACTGACAGTGTGAGATTCCAGTGTCAACCTATGACTGCGTGCAACCAAAGAACGCCGGCTTCAAGTTCACGTCCTTCACAGCCACCTCAGCAAGAAATCCTTCCACCCCCTTCGCAAGCTTTGGCTTCGCATAACGCTTTAGCGCTATTCTCAACGCCTTCCCTTTCGATGTCTGCTTACCATACCTCTTCCGCTGCACCTTTATCCATCGGGCATCATTGATCAAGTACGGATTGGCACCTGCGTCTAGTAACGACAGAATACCCGAAACACACTCACCAGTTGTTGCCAAATAAAGCGGTCGTCTCAAAACAGCTCGATACTTCGGTCCATTCGGATCCGCGCCAAGTTCCAGGAGCTTTTTGATGATGGTTGTCATGCGGCGTCCCTCTGCAAGCCTTATCGCGGTGATGAGGGGGTAGGTAGATGGGTAGCCTTTGATGCTCGATGGGTAGACTTGGTTGATTGCTAAACACCCTGGACCACCCAGGGAATAAGGGAAGAAGATGTGGAGAAGGGAGACTTTCGAAAGGCGACAGGCTGTTTCGAATGCCTTATAAAACGTGGATATACCTGCTTGCGTCGGGCGACAAAGCAGGAGACGAAGCATGTCTTTGTGGCCACATGTAACAGCTCTATCAAGCCATTCTGCCGTGCAAGCCTCTGTCGGGAAACCAAAGGCTTCCACGTATTTATGAAGTAAGTAATCAATGATACCGCAATGTTGCAGCTCGATGCAGGTGCAGATCGCTTGACGAAATGAGATATGCTCAGGTCGAGAACTAGATCCGGAAGCGCAAAGTCAGCATATGTCTTGTTTGCATCTTGCAGTGGGAAACTTACCCGTAACGGTGATGGAGATCGACGACGTCCTCGTTCTGGTTGGTGACGGCTTGTTGCGCGATCGCTTTAGCAACACCAAAGTGCCCTGCATAAACGGCGACATCCAGCGGATATCCAAAGGCTGGCGACTCCTGCCACAGTGAGTCTCTATCCTTCGCAGCCTCGGTTCTCAAGAGACAAAGATCGCCTAGATCAGCAGCCATAGCAACCAAGTTGACTGTGCTGCTCACTGATAGTGCCTCTATCTGGTGGTGGTTTAGCTTGTTTGTTTGGGTTAAAACGAACGTCAGCGCGCCGTCGCAATTGCAGGCAAAGAGTTCGCATAGAAGCCTCCGTAGTTTGGAGACTGCCTCATCGCCAGTAATCCAAGACTCCTTTATCAAGATGACATCGCGTATGAACTCAGGGACATGGGTGCGCACAAAGCCGTTCAGCTTTGTGCTACGCGTGTAGAGGAAGTCGGCGAGTTTGTGCTGAAGGATCTCGCGTCCGGCACGTGTCTTGTTGTATGCATAGAGAGACGGGGTAGCAAGGACTTCGTAGGTGATGTAGGTTTGAAAAGCTTCTGATATCCAGTAAATCAGTGCGATGTTCATGATAGATGGATTGTGACGTGATTCTTACTGCTTGTTCCTCGAACCTTCCAAGCTTCAGCAATGCCGTGTTTCTTGACTAAGATGTGCGTAATACGCTGGAAGATCTCTGGTGGTAAGTCAAGTAGCCGCATGTTTGTTGTAAGTAAGCAGAGTGTGATGTTGGGTTAGAAGTGATGCGGACTAGAGGTTGACAGAGCAACTCTTGTTATATAGTCGGGTAGACTTGTTGCAGTGACCGTTGCTAACAACAAAGGGAAGGTGAGAAAAATCTTAGTAATGTAATATTACTTAGCAAAGGATAGCCACAGTGGTTGAGGACAGAGAGGTGAGAGAGGAAAGTGATCACAATGAGCCGAGAACTTCACTACTTTGCACTCCTCCCCGAAATGTGCGCTCGGCCAATGGCGACACGCCAAAGTCTCTCGCCGCGAACCTTTGATTAACGGTATTAGTCAAGAAAATAGTCACGGGCAGATCAACTGCGACCGCGAGAGATGTTTGGTAATTTGAGCTCCTATTAGCAAGGTAGCACGCCGTCGGGACGCTATACAAATGTCCGACAACGCAGTGCACGGTGTTGAGGTCCTACACAAAACCTTGTCATGGCAAGAAATTGGGCGCTATCCTGAGCAGAGTATGCGGGTTACGACTTACAAGAAGAGGAAGGGAAAGGGAACGACAAGAAGATGCGAAAGTGCGGTATCGCTGCATCGCGAGAGAATTGCTGAAGAAGAGACTACTGCGAAAGTCGAAAAGAGCGCTGTGATGGCAAAGAGATCTCGGAACGATAAGGTGTGAGAGCCCTTGCTTCTCAGTCGGATCATTCTTAAGATTTTAATTCCAAGGTGTATAGGATATCACCGTGATTGTGGTACTTCTTGTTCTGAATTACCTGACTGCATAGGTACTTGCTGTCGCGAAAGTTCGAGAGTAGCCCATCTGCTATTTATCAAAAGAATGATATGAGTGATGCATGATCCTAGGGTCAGACGTGGCCGTCTGATGTCGAACAAGGTGTTGGTGATAGGAGTCATGGTGTTGAGTTCCCCAAGGCAAACCTCAATCGCCTAGGTGACGCACGTGGCGCTAGCGTGCCGCGGCTGCGTCCAACGACGTCAATCAAGCCAGGACCCTGGATCTCGCGCAAGACGTCTTTTCTTTTTGCGCTCAGCGCGTCTTTGACAATAAACCTTCAATAACCGGAATACACGCATATCACGCGCAGACACCTAGCCTGGACTGCCAAAACAACGCTACCGTCGCGAATAAAGTGCACGCGACCGCGCGAGGCACCGGCCAAACACAAGACGGCCGCCTGCCGCCGACATCAGCGACAACACCACTCTTACCCTGCATAACATCCACCACATACATCGCAATCATGGCGCCTTTAAAGATCTCGATACCGACAGCACAGAACCAGACACCTGAGAACGGAAAGGCCTACACATCGTATACCATCAAGATCGAACACCCCTTCCCCCGCGCCACAACCAGCGTTCAGAAGCGCTACTCCGACTTCTCCTCTCTCGACTCGGCCTTGCGATCAGAAGCCGGGTGCGCGCCGCCCGCCCCCCTCCCACCAAAATCCTGGCTCGGCGGCTTCCTAGGCATAGGCAACACGGCAAGCTCACCCGAAGCCATCGAGAAGCGACGAGCAGGCCTGGAGGCCTATCTACGGGCCATCGAGAGCAGCGAAGACGGACGCTGGCGCATTTGCAAAGCCTACAAGTCCTTCCTCGACCTTGGCGGCGAACAAAACGGCAGCAACGGGAAGAAAACTACTGGCTTCCCCGGTTCACAGTTTGGAAAAGACAGGGTGAGGGATTCGTCGGACTGGCTGGATAAACACGCTGAACTCAAATCTAACCTCCAAGACGCACGGAGATGGTTGACGAAACGCGAACAAGCGACCGCAGCAACTGCGCAGCACGAGGCAGCGGCTAATGCCAAGAAGAGCCTCGTCAGAGCTTCTACGCTCATCTCGGCGCTGGACGAAGGCTTGAGCCGGCTAGGTGGCGCGAACACAAAAGGCGGTTCGGACGACTGGTCCGGCGAGAAACTAGGCGACGGCGAGATACGCCGCAGAAAGGACATGATCAGTGGTCTACGCAAAGAACGCGATGGTCTAGATTCGGTGCTCAACAGCATGGCTGTCAAGGCTGCGATATCGGGTTCTGGTGCCGCCTCGCACAATGCGCCGTCGACGTCTTCGGCTGCTGTCACGGAGAGCCAGAAAGCGGGTCTGTTTAAAGGCGCGGCGTCTGCCAAACCGTCGTCGTCCAGTCGCAGAGTGCTGGGCGGCGCACCGGCGCAGGAAACGGATAAAACGCGCGAATTGGATAATGAAGGTGTTTTGCAGTTGCAGCAGCAGATTATTGCTGCGCAGGACGAGGATCTGGTTGATATAGCGACTGTGGTGAGGAGGATGAAGGAGATGGGTGTCACGATTAACAGGGAGATTGTCGAGCAGAATGCCATGCTTGGGTTGTTTGAGGAGGATGTCGAGAGGGTGGATGGCAAGATTAAGATTGCTAAGAAGAGGATTGATAAGATTCATTGAGTGCAGTCGACTACGCATCTGGGGGTAGAGAGTGGGGCGGACGGGAGAAGTTCATCTCGCGCTTGTAATATATGGTATTGGAGTACGGCTATTGGTATTGGTATTGGTATTGGCACTAGGGTAGTCTTTCGATTAGCTTGGCAAGGTTCGGATAATATGATTGTGATACCCCTTTGAATAAGATAACACGATGCCTGGGTGCAATTCGCATACCACATGTGCATCTATGTATCTCAACAGTACATTATTGATCCACTCTCTTCTGCTCATGTAAGAAACGATCGTAATCCCTCCTCGCCTTCCTCTGACCAGAACTCGACCCCTCTCAAACCCACTGATCAGTGCTCCGCTTAATTCGTCCCATGGCTTTCTGCGTCACCGAACATCCAACCAAATCTCCTATTTCTTCTCTGGCCTGCTCCTCTACCACCATGCAGAACCTCTTCCTTGCCCCCATCATGATTCGCTTCCCTACACGCTGCCCATGGTTGCTTTCGTCGCAGATCTCGACCTATCACATCCGTTCGCGAAATGAACATGCCACTTGCATCTCCCCCAACATTCCCATTTCTAATCCCAGTCCGCGGAATTAAATTTCCTTCTTTTCCGCTGCCCTGGTTCGGGTTCGAAGAGTAATGCCTCCTCGCCTGCTCCTCTACCACCGCCGTCATCGGAACCATCGACTCCGATGATGCAGGATTCATGTTTGATAGATCGGCTGCGTATGGAGGAGGGTCCGCTGGAGGATATGGACCTATTTGAATAGGAGGAAGTCCTTGTGCATGACGTGACTGTAGATTACGCTGCGTGACCGCTAGTCCGGCATACGCCCGCTGTAGCAATTCTATTCCTTTTTCGCCTTCGGGGATTGCTGAAGGAACCTCACCTCGTGGTAGATTATAAGGAGGCGGGAAAACCTGGCGGCTTTTTACCAGTTGGCCGCGGTGAAACGTCTCGGGATTGTTTGTCATCAAGGTGTTTAGGGGGTGCTTGTTGGGAAGGAGGTGCTTGTTGGGAGGAGGTACTACCTCTTGGCCGGAGTTGTTGAACAAGGCCCCACTGTATGGGTTTCGATGCAATTGGGATCCAGGGACGACAATGTCATCAGCTCGGAAGCTTTTGTGCACTGCGGCCCAGTCGGTATACATGGGCCATGTTGCATAATCTACCAATGACGAATGCTTCCGTGGAAAGGGTCTCGGCATTTCGAACGCGGCAGCTTCTGGTCGAAGAGGCGTGCTACCAGAGGTGGATGGTTGAGTATGGTTGTCGGAGCTGAAGGGAAGTGACCTGTTCGGTAGAAATGCTTGTCCTCTGAATGGGGTAACTCGATTATTGTATGGGGCAACTTCTAGTCGGAGAGGACTATTTACGACATTAGATGATTGTGTTCCGGAAAATGACCATTTCTTTCCTTTTGGGGCGTATTTGTCCTTCGATGTCTGAAATCCGACAGATTGGCGAAGCTCCTCGACTGTTTGATTGTGGCCTTTACCAGGTATGAAGGTGGCAGCTGGCGGAGGAAAGGGCGGATGGATTGGCGGTGGTGATTTGGTTTTGGGCTCATTGTTGAACAACCGGCGTGCCTCAACTGCTCGCCATGCAGCTGCAATTTTTTGACCCCGACTTTCTGTACTCTCGCCGAGCTACGGTGGAGCGTTCGGTGGTGCGAGCCGGGACTCTTTGTTGATATTGTCCGAATCCCCTACAGCAGCACTTGCATTTGCGTCCCTGAACGTGTCGTTTTGCTTCCTTTGGCCGTTGAGGAGCGGGCAGAGCCTATTGGGGATTGTGTTAGCGGATTCGTTCAATACAGAGTAAATCTTGATGACTTGCTTTGTGTTTGTCTTGATGTGGCCCACCTCGCCGCAGTTTGCACACTTGCGAGGTGTTGCTCCACCCTTTCCTGGCCCACCAGGCGGTAGAGCACTACTGCTAGATCCATGGGGCTGGGCCGACTCTCGTTGTGTAATTCTGTTTTCCCTCTCCAATCGATTCGCTCGCTCGTGGGATCCGAATTTGACGGCATCGAAACGGGCGTTCGCTGGTGCTGGCCGAGATCTTCCATCTTTATGTGCCTGGCCAAAACTTGTTATCGGAGGTGGGACACCGTTGTTAAACAGCGGTTGCTCCCTTGCCGTCTCTCTTTTGAAATGCGCTTGTCTTTCTGACTCATTTGCCCGCTCTCGTGCATTGATACGGCCCCACTCCACGACTTGGTTGGGATCCGGGTCTGCATAGCTGCCATCTCGTAGGTTCTCTCTAGCAACCACACCTGGATCGTCATCTCGCAAAAGGTTTGTCAGTCCCGGGATGCTGTCGCACAAGAAGCAGTGACCAGGATATCGCTCCGGCTCCTAGATGCGAGCTTGTATACATTCTTTGCCGAAAACGTGGCGACAATAGGGCATCTCGACTGGTGTGTGTTCGTTGCTGAGCCTCTGGTGACACCCATCGCAATTGACATATTTGTATGTGTTGTAGTCGATCGGTCCGCTGCTCGGAGTGTCACCGTTGGGGTTACCGCCGTGGGGAGCTCCAGGAGCCGAGGAATCCATTAGCGAGTGCTGGACAATTATATTGGAGGTAAGACCCAATCAAGCGATGGGATATGGTAACTGGCGGCGAGTGGAAATGTAGCTCTAGTGGGTGGTGAAAGAGCGTTTTAACAATGTCGTTAGACAGGGGTTATGGTTGTAGTGACTAACGGTGAGTCGGATCGCAAGCTCAGGTGAGCCGTAGAATACCTAAGTAATGACGCTGCAGAATTAGAAATGCGTGATAGTGAAGGGTGGTAAGTAAAGACGAGAGTGATAGGTGCTGGTGGGAGAAAGTAGGCTCAACGGTGAGATGAGCCTGAAAACAAAGCTCGGATCATTGCTACGCAGGCAGCAGCGTCTAGCAAGTCCACGTGTGAAATGTAAGTGGAAGGCGCAGAGACGTTCACGGCAAAAGCCTGGAGAACTCAGCCTACTGTTGACATTGGCTCGGCATCCTTATCACTAGCTTGGCGACTAGAACAAGAAGAATGACATATTTGGATAGATCGCGTATACTTAGTTTGATGATCTCGAAGCAAGCGTATCTCTCAAGAAATCGACAACCCAGCTACCCGTAGCTGCACCATCTTAATCCGTACCATCACCCAACCTCATCGTACTCAGATTATCGCTCCTGACCTTCTGAATATGATCAATCGCTTCAATGAGATGCGGCACAAACTTGGCCGGATTTTCCGTAGCTGGGAAATGACCTAGATCCGGCATGCTCTTGTGCATGGCCCCAGGTATCTTGTCTGCTGTCTTCTGTGCCATTTCTGGTGTATTGGACCAATCGTACTCGCCAGTCAACATGTATACGGGGCAACTCTGGGTGTCGACCTTGGCGACGCGCGATCGGCCGTCCCAACCGCCAAAGTAGAAGTCGAGGTCGCCGTGGAAGATCTGCGGACGGATTAGTGGGGTTGGAAAAGATGGGTCTGAGGTTGCGCTTACGCCGTAGGCTTGGGCACTGTACGTGTGCCATATGAGCTGTTTATTTGCGCGAGGTGTAATTGGTGCCATCATCTATTGAAGTCAGCGGTGGTTCTATCGCATATGGCTCATTTGCATATACCCCGTAGATCCATTCTGGGTTGAAAAGCGACTGGTTGACTACTGGAGAGCGGTCGTGCCATTGTCGCTCCATATTGAGGTAGTCGGACCTGTCTTTATGAGTACGGCTCCCTTTACGCTAAACATTCACTTACCCTTGCAGAGGAATGACTCCCGCGGCGCCAACTTCCCTGTGTCGAATCGCAACTGCCAAACAAACCTGGCCAGCCATACTCGCGCCGCAAATGATGGGTCTTCGGAGGCCAAGAGCTTTCACGAAAGCTGTGATCATCCCCACGTAGCTATCTTCAGTATTCGTATGCGCGCCTGGTGCGTAGTTCTTCGATGGGAAACTTCGTCCATGTCCAGGCAGGTCAAACGCGTACATGATGCACTTCTTGCGCATTCTCGCATCGTTCATAACGCCGTGATATTGCCGGCTGTCGCTGCCAGCGGTATGTAAGAAGACAATGGGCTGCTTTCCCTCACCAGAGTACTCGTAGAAGACCTTGCATCTACCCCACACTGGAGCTTCAAGGTATGTGTACTTTCCGGTAAGGAAATCCCGCTCCGGTTCGACTTGCTCGTCTTCCTTTATTGGTCCACAGTGCGCGTCGTGTGTAAGCTCTAGGACGCGCCTCCATACATGGGTCCACTGCGCGAAGGCTGTCTGATCGCCCAGCACTTCAATGCCTTTCTGCTTGATGTTCATGCCGAACATTCCCCAGTAGCTCTGGTACGGCATAGCCGGGACTGCCTTGAAGTGCTGTTCCCATTGCTCGGGGAGAGCCACAAGCGTGAATAGAGCATCTTTCGACGCGCCAGTGCTGGCTTTTGCGCTGCCATTGGACACTGTGATGAGGAGGGTGTTGTCCGAACCACTTGACTTGATACCAAAGGTGACGTCCTTCTCGATAGCGTTTGACGTTGTGAAGGCTTTCAGCTGATCGTCAGATTGGAGGAGCTCGGAGAGCTTGTCTAAACTTCCTTTGAGAGCCGCGGTAAGGTCGGACCAGTCAGACATGGCGGTTTCGAGTGTGCAATAGCTCGTTGCAACGCGACAAAGACGGATGAATGTTTAATTGTATGAATTAGCTCAAGAGAGGCAGAGGAGGGCAGGAAATAGAGCGCAAGCATGCCGACGGCATGCTCTACACATATAGTGACGCATAAACCCCGGCATCGCCCAGAGCTAGCTCTGGAGCTATAGTGCTAGGAGGGGTAGACGTAGTGCGGGGTTCTGCACACGTGGGCGCATGTCTCGACTTCCGCTCGTCATATTTCCGGTGAGCTTTACGTTGACCCAGTCCAGATTTGGGAGGACTAGTTGAAGATGCATGCCATGAGAAGAGGCGGGGAGTGTTGATCAAGCAAGCCGAACGCGCGAAGACGCGTTAAGTGCTCTTAGCGCGAGCGCCAAGGAACTGGCAGCGGCACTGAAGACAGGCGATCATTCCCCACAATGCTCCGAACCCGCGTCCGAGCACGCTGCAAGTGTCGCGCAGGACAGCCGCGGACCATTGGCTTTAGCAAATCTCACCCGATTATAGTTGTCGCAATAACACATCGGTAATCCAAAGATCGCTCTCAAAGCTCCTCTGGTCCGACTGAGCCGTGTTGGCGTCGCGACACTCAAACGTCAGCCGAGGGATTCGATGTCTCGACGATGTTTCTGGTATGCGTATCCTTCCATGCCCCATAAGATGGTCGGGATGATAGTCTGCTATTGCGTAGCACCTGGGAAACTTTTCGCAAATAACTTTGTCCAATTCCCAGCCATCGTAAAGGGATCAAAGACCACAGAAGACTAATCGTTGTGCTTCAACGGCATTTGTCATACAGCTCAGCTATCCCCAACCTCTACCTTGCAGGTAACCCGTTTCTGTCTATACCTAAGACGAGGCTTCGTCGTAGAAGTCAGCTTATCGTACAAGCACTTGCGTTGATATTCCAGCCAACCACTATCTGCCCCGTAGACTTGCAGATTCTCGCATCGTACCTGCAGCGTGACCAAATCCCCAAGGTAAAACGACCGGCCCCTCACCCCACTATATATGTTTGTGGTCACCACGTCCATTGTTCAAATTGTCTCAAGAATTACTGAGCGGTCATTACGACGCCACTCAGAGCGGACTTGATTTCGAAAGGAGATCTCGAGGCGGGAGGAAGAAAACGGCATTATGGGAATCCTAACGAGCCTTCCTACGTGCACTGTCGAAGATGGCTTGTATGCTATCGAGGACGTGCCTGGTAAGGGAAAAGGCCTCATCGCAACCAAATACATATCCAAAGGCACGTGAATCATCTCCGAGAAACCAGCTATCACGGTAGGAGGTGGGATTGCAAGCATGGAGCAACTTGAGGCGGCGATTTGTCAACAAGTCAGCTCTCTGAGCACAGATCAGATACGCGACTTCTGTTCCATGGACAATGTCTATCCTTACACCGATTTTAAAGAGAGATGGCGCGGTATCTTTCAAACCAATGCTTTACCTACCGGATCAAACTTGGATGCCGGCGGTGTCTTTTTCCAAGCATGTCGTATCAATCATGCTTGTAACAGCAACTCAACGAACTTCTAGAACGACAGACTCAGCAAGCTTACGATTCAAGCGATAAGAGATATTGGAAAAGGAGAGGAGATTACGATATCTTACCTGAGCAGTCATAGAGATCGCCAAACGCGGCGGGAAGAGCTCCAGAAAAACTTCAAATTCACATGCCTGTGTGAACTCTGCTCCTTACCACGTAGCCAAAGGAGAAAGAGCAACATAAAGCTGAATCGCATTCACAAAATCGACTGCATAATCGAGGAAGGTGGTGTCCCTGGTCTCGTCCTAAACCCACGGCAGATGCTTAGCTATATCGATGAACAGGTTCGATTGTGGAACGAACCAGTCCCGAATGACATTGGCCTTGCGCGAGCATATCCTGACGCCTTCGAGGTTGCTATCGCAAACGGTAATTTGGCAAGGGCTTGCGTATTTGCAGAAAGGCTGGTGCCACTGTATGTAACCACCATGGGGGCAGACAGTCCCGATGTGATGCAGTACAAAAAACTGATCAGAGACCCTACTACCCATCAATACTATGGCTTGTCGACGAATTGGAGTACAACGTTGGATGAGATTCCTCGCGGACTGGGACGGAAGGAATTTGAGGATTGGTTATGGAAAAGGTGAAGCAAAATGACCGACTCAGTTTACAGTCACCAGATTTGGGGCACGAGTATTTCAAGGATTTAGAGTTGGCTACAAACGTGATGCGAGAATGTTTCGGGCATGCATATCTCCAAGTATCAAGTGAAATGGCTACGAAGCTAGCAGTAATTCGAGCTTGCGCGATGAATGATAAGGGAGATGCAAACGGATTCCCATGCCTTGCTTGAGGCGGTAACTAATTCCCGGCACCGCATGTACCATATCAAGTGCACCTTGTGTAGTTCCTATCATACAGCATCAAGGTTACCTAAAGGAGCCTTGGAGGTTACATGATCTTCTCTACAAAGCAAGCGCATCCTTGTCTTACATCTGCTGGGCGGCTAAGCGCATACGGTTCGGCTTCCCCATCTAGCCCGAACAATATGCAAGGTATTGATGCCTACGCGAGACAGGCATATCGAGTACTTACCTAATCGAACCTATCTTCTCCTAGAAGCACATGCGCATCATGTTGACTTCGCCAACATGATAAGCGATACTGGCCCGCATGTTGTGCTCCTACCAACGTACTTTGTCCACCGCTCAGATCTGGTCATCTGAACCGATGACTAGCTGGACGGATACTTGGAGCGGATCTGACGTCTTTCTTCTACTCAAAGTCATCTTACTAAAGATAAAACTCGTCCGAGGGTTAATGATACATATGTGTATGTCACTCCACTGGTTTGGGTAGCATCAGCGGATAGACCTTGCGTATCGAGAAAACAATGGCAAGCTGCTCACGGGAAAGAGAAACAATATGGGGCCTGCCAGAGGCAGTTTGGAAGTCTCCTGAAATTTTAGGAAGGGGATGACATGAACATACTGCCAAAGCGCCGCAATCTTTTTGTTGTCGCCTAGACATCTATCAACGGGTTACACTAGACGTCGATATGATCTCTGTTGCGCACTCAAGAGCCTTGCACGTACGACTCTGCAACTATCCCCTTCCCCCCGGAGAAAACACCAGCGGGTATCCTGTCTTTGCATCGTGAAGGCAAGAAATTAATCCTGCAAACACTGTATCAGCAGTGTCATCGCGCGGATGCCCGTCTTGACTAGTGTTTACCAAACCTCCAGCGACACATACAAGTACAGCCGCAAACGCCATATCACACTTGCTAACCTCATCACAGCAACACCTGTTCTCACCATCCCATCACGACCAAACACCAAATCCCACAAGTCGTTTCGTACTTTACAATGCGCTACTCAAGCCCTATCATCGCTCTCGCAGTGTTTCTTGTTCACCTCACCACAGCCCAACTCGGCTCCGACGACACCATCTGCGGATTTTTCTACGGCACCGACTACACGGACGCATGCTGCCACACCGTCATCAGCCGCGGTTTGAACGCGCCCTGTACCGACATCGAGTACGCCAGCAACCTGACTGAGTGCTCGACCCACCACTTCCCCACTGGATGGGCTGTTTGTGTTGAAATGGTATGTTTGCATTGCTAAAAGTTCCCATCGCCTTGAGCTTCTTTTGATTGCTTGAACTGATCCCCACACTAGGAACATTCGGATTCTGGCCCGCTCTTTGGTCACGGGCCAAGTGGTATCGTCACTCCAGAGATGACGATGGACCAGTTGATCCAGGTTGTAGTTGTTGTCGGGGGATATGTGCAACGTTACGTTGCAACGTTCTAGAATTGTTAGAGAAAACCGAAATGCGGGCCAGCCGATGCATACACATATACCACCTCGTACTTTTCTTTTCCACTCGTCTCACTCATCATTTGTCGCATCCTCCCTTAAAATACGTAGCACAAGGCTTCAGCTATAACTTTTCCATTCGCATCTGGTTGGACCTTTCCAAGGAGCCATGGTCTTGCCAATCTTTAGCACCCTCTTACCTACGCTTGCCGTTCTTCTCTATTTCCTCACTACCTCAATCGCGCAGGACACATTCTGCCAGATTTACTTCGGCGCGAGCTATGCTGACTACTTTTGCACTGAATTGCACTCTCACGGCCCACCTTGTGACACGCCCATCTCCGTCGCCAACGCCACTGATTGCACTGAAGAAGTTTATCCTAGGGGGTGGTTTTGCTGCATTGACGCGGTACGTAAGACCTTGAGGATGGTAGGGAGTGTGTGGATATGAGGATATGGGAGTTGATTTAGATATCACAGGAATCCAGCGACCCCAATGACCCTGTTTGGTCTTGTGGACAAAGTTGGGAGACGGACGAAGATGGGACGACGAGTGTCGTGATGGGGAGTGGGCTGAGTATGCATTCGAGCGTCTGGAAGGAGTAAGAGGGAATCGTGTATAGCTGAATCGCGTTGGTATCTGCAACATAGCCATATAGTTGTAACTTCGATGATAGAAGCTGCCGGCACGTTTTGTTCCGTCCTAACAATCTTGAAGTTTTGATTTAACGTGTTTTATAAGCGAGTCGTCCTTACAAGCGAGTCGTCCACCTCACTAACTTTAATCACCTTAAAAGCTACGCAACGCAACAACAGAATAAGGTAGAATAAAGGGGCTAACATAATAGATTAAATAGTATCTACAGCATCTTTTTTACACGTTCGTGAGTTGTGCCTAGTCTCTCTGCATCTCCTGCAGCGTGCAATAGCCTGGCGGCTGAGGCCCAATCGCTCACCACCTTGACGCTGTTCATGCTTAATCTGCTGGTCAGCCTCCTTTTGAGCTAGTATATCCTCTCCCTCTCCCTTTGTTAAGGTCCTACGCTTCTGTATTCGCTTCTTTTTGCGCTGCCTACGCTTAGTTGCTGCCTCATTAGCTCTCTTGAGGCAGGTAATCTGATCGCGCATAAGCTCGGCTGAGAGTATTATCACCTCAGCCCCCTTTTTAAGCTGGTGGATCGCCTTAATAATTGAGGCTGGTGATGAGCTCTTATGCCGTCGCACGCGATCACGTATTAACGTTGATTAAGCTTCAAGCTCACGTACGTTGCTTGGTGTACGAGCCTCCCAGGGAGGCTCTGCGAGAGCAGCTGGTGGAGTAGGCGTACGCAGCTGCACGTTGAGCTTTAATAGAACAGCGTCTGGCTGGAGAGGGGCTAGGCCTGCGCCTCGAAAAGCTGAGCAGATATTGGCTGAGGTAAACGATCGATCAAAGGCTGCTTTAAAGGCTGGCAGGAATTCGAGCTTAGTGATATAATTAATATTGTAGCGCATCAGAGCCTCAATCTCACGGCTGTACGCGCGCTTCATAGGCGAGAAGCAGCCTACGTCAAGAGGCTGCAGTAGGTGAGATGAGTGAGCTGGCATACAGAGCGTGTAGATATTGCTCTCCTTACAGAGCTCTTGAAACTCAAGAGAGTGGTGGCTCTCATGGCCATTAAGGATAAGCAGCCGTCGTGCTCCAACCACCTTGCCCTCTGTATGCTTAACAAAGTGCTTAAGCCACTCAACTCCTAGCTTGTTGGTCGTCCAGCCGTTGTCGCTGACAGCGATTGCCCAGTCGCGTGGGATATCTGCTTCCTCGTACCAGGCAGATAGGTGATACTTGCCAGCAAAGATAAGGAACGGTGGGATTGTCTAGCCAGCAGCGTTAATTGCAGCAATTACCGTCACCCACTCGCAGTTGCCAGGCTAGATAGTCTTTGGCCTGCCTCTCCTCTCTAACCCTGTGATAACTAGCTAAGTCTAGATCTTGCCCATCATAAAGCCAGCCTCGTCAAAGTCGTAGACGTCCTCGTCACAGATACCGTACTTAGCCTTTGTCTCCTCTACCAGCTTAAACTAGCGGCTAATTAGCACAGGGTCCTCGCATAGAGCTCTCTGCCTATTATACAATCGATTAAAACGCGTTGTAAGACTGTCTGTACGCTTAACAAAGTTGCGCGGCTAGTAGACGCTAACGCGACCTGCACTACGCGCAGCAAGCAGCTTATTAGCTATATCGCGCGCAGCTGTATACGTAGGCCCAAATCCTCGCTAGTCAAGGTCAAGTATATGTCTGACAATCACCTCCTCCTCTAGCTAGGTAAGCTTCTTTGAGTTAGGCTGGCATTCGTGTCGTGCAGGCCTGCTAGCGCGTCTGTCGCGTAGCGTCATTTGAGGGACGTTAAACGCGCAAGCAGCAGCTCTCTTAGTCTTAATCTGGTAGTTATTAAGAGATAATATAGTAAGCTGCATATCAGCTTCGGATAAGCGTAATAGAGCTTGTTGGCGTTAAGGCATAACTAATCTGATTTTCAAAGGTGATCAAAGTTGGTTGGGTGGACGACTCGCTTGTAAGGACGACTCGCTTATAAAACACGTTACCCAGGAACCAGACGCGTCCGTCAAGCGGGCAAGGCAGAAAGACTACATGTCTATGCGACCTGCTCGATCATCCAATCACCTCTTCTGAGTGTACTGCTATGAGCCTGCCATCGCGCAGTGGAAGATACATGTGAAAGCGCGGCTAAGCGGGATGATGTCGTGATTCCAAAGCCATCCCTGGAGCAGGCGGAAGAGCCTGTAGGTGAAAGAAAAAAAAAATGCCCACAACATATTTCCATGATGATCTATGCGAAACTACGGAGGGGTTGGAGATCTATCGACCATTTTCCCCGGGCAATCCAGTAAATTAGATACTTGGGCACCATCGCAGACTCGGCCATTGATTATCCCACTGATGAGCTCATTCGCGAGAATATCAATAGAACGAATTTTTCCGCAATCTGAACATCTACTGCAAGTCGCAGAGACTACGGATTTGCTCGCATCCTGACGGCTGCCCGTAAAGAAACCGGAGTCCAGGTAGAGTGCCGCAAGGCGTTCGCGACACCTTCTACATACGTGTCGGCTCTTCAAGATTTGCATCGACCAGGTAGTATCGGTACGTATTTTGCTATACAGGCTGCCTCGCATCGTTGAGTAGACACCGAGAAGCGGAGATATGCAAGCTCCTTGAGCGAGGATGTTTTCTGGACACACAGCCTGGAGGCCGTCTCTGTCAGCGAAGCGGCGGATATCGGCGAAACAGGTCCGGGTTTAATTTTGCGCGACTGCAAAATCCGGTACCAGCTATCATCGTCATTATCCACACCACGACAACACCGGCTGCCGGAAAATCAAATCAATGCGACGTTCCGCCCTGGCATCATGATTGGCCCCCATGCCAGAATCGGCCAGAAGCCGGGCTATCTTTCCTCTCTTCATGCACGTAACTGCATAATGATCGAGCCGTACCCCACTCGAAGCTTGCACGACATAAGGCCTCTCGACCCCGCCAAATTCTTCAGATAGCGCTCAATTGTCACACCAATCTCATCTCACACTTCATCAACTCCTTTTATATACCGTTACAATGGCCTGCGAAAACTGCAAGAAAGGTTTCAAGTGGAACGGCGAGTCCGTTGGCAAGGTGGACAAGCTCGACCAGATCGACTGCTATGTCACTGGCGACAACAAGGATGCCGCTATCCTCATCGTCACTGATGTCTTCGGCTGGACGCTTCCCAACATCCGCCTCATCGCAGACCACTACGCAAAGGAAGCCAATGCGACCGTCTACGTACCCGATGTGTAAGTAGCGACGCGACACACGCACACCATCAGCGCGACTAACCGCAATTGCGCAGATTCGGCGGCGAAGTCGTAGACCCCGACGCGCTCTCCAACCCAGAGAAACAAAAGAACTTCGACATCATGGCCTTCCTCGGCCGCAACAGCAAGGAGATCCGCTGGCCCGAGATCAAGCAGCACGCGCAAACGCTCAAGTCGCAATACAAGAAGGTCGCCGCCATTGGCTTCTGCTATGGCGGCTGGGCCTGCTTCAAGCTCGCCGCCGACCCTTCCCTCATCGACGCCATCTCCACCGCCCACCCCTCGCTGCTCGAGAAGTCGGAAATCGAGGGCGTCAAGGTCCCCGTGCAGGTCCTCTCTCCCGAGCACGACCAAATGTACACGGAGGAGCTGAAGAAGGCCACCCTCGAGACGCTGCCAAAGACGGGTGTGCAGTGGGAGTACGTCTACTTCCCTGGTCTAAACCACGGCTTCGCTGCGCGTGGTGACCCCAACGATCAGAAGCAGAAGGATGGTTTGGAGAGGGCGAAGAGGAGTGCTGTGAACTTCTTCAACGAGTTCTTGCACTAGGGAGATGATGTGGTAACAATGTGGTTATTCAAGCGAATCTAGATGAACATATGCAGTAATCTCAGTACCTACGATATCGCCCAAAGACGATTCCTTCCCACTGACTCGTGCATTGTCTTGGTCTTGTGCTGTTGTGCTGTTGTGTTGTTTTGTTTCGGAGAAGACAGTCGCTCATGCACGACGTCATTTACTTTACTAGCGCGAGGAGCTGCGCACGCTGTCCTCACAGCACCCGTCACCACAACACCTACACCCAATGAACCCGTGTGCCTGCTGGTGCTAGAGTGCAGCCATAACGCTATTCAGTAATGCTGCGCTGTCGCAGGGATGGAAGCTCAGTAGCTCGATGTCTCTGCCTCGACGGACCCGGCCTAAGGGTATGCAGTTGGTCTCGAACGCGAAGCTGAACGGCTGATAGATGTTCGCCGGTAGCGCCACCAGCGCTACGGTGCAAGACATCCAACCTATTTGCTGATTTCTTCGCCTCTGCCTGAGGCTCTCAAGCCTCCTGCTCGCGTAACGACCTCTCTCCACCTAACTCAGCGAATCGGGCTAGGTCTGCCGCTGCGATAAGCAACCAATGCGCAGCGGCCCAACAAGGCTGATGTTGGTCGTACATGGCGTATGTGACTTAAACCACAAACCTCGCTGACTCAAACTCATCGTAGAAGGTTCACTCATCCACTTTGCGCCCGATCACAACATGGAATCACTCGCCGCTGTCGGCCTCGCTGCAAATATCTTACAATTTATCCATGAAGCAAGGAAGTTGGTATCTACCAGTCGTGAGATACTCGGTTCTGGCACTAAGGATGAGTACATTGAATTGGAACTTATCTCAAAAGGACTGCGCTCTCGATCAGCCGGCATCATCCTGCCAGGAAATGCCAAAGATGTTTCTCAAGGCGATGACGGAAGTTCCCTCGAGGCATTGGCGATGAGATGCAACGAGATAGCAGATGAACTGCTTGGTATTCTTGGCACGCTTAAACTCCACAACGACCGGAACAAGTGGACAAGTTTCGTCCAAGCGCTAAAGACCCAATGGAATGATGATAAGATCGAAGCTCTTCGCGGAAGGTTGGACCGTATCGCAAACGCAATCAATGCGCGCCTTGCGGACGAGACCAATCTTGGAATTCACTCTCGCCTCAATGAACTACTTGAGATCAATCGTCGACTTGAGATTACGCGGACCGTGGATATCTTGGCTTTGAGGAAAGAATTCGATCAGGCATTGCAGAACAGTCAGAACAACACTGGGAAAGAAGAATCGGCCGATCTTATGAGCAAAGTAGCGTCAGATGGCCTGCACTACTCTGCAGAACAGAAGATTTTGTCCAGACTTCGCTTTGTTCGATTGGAAGACCGGTATCGATTGATGTCATCAGCCCACCGCAATACCTTGACCTGGTTATTTGGAAACACAAATTTGGAAGGTCAAAATCAAGTCAACGACTTGTCAACCTTCGTGCAGTGGTTACATTCGGACAACAATTTATACTGGATCTCTGGTCGACCTGGCTCCGGAAAATCTACGCTTATGAAGTTTCTCTGTCACCACCAGAAAACGAAGGAGCATCTGGCCACTTGGGCTGGAAACAATGGAGTAATCATCGCCGAATATTTCTTCTGGAATGCTGGCAAGAACGAACTCCAAAAATCTCAAGAGGGTCTTTTACGGTCATTGCTCTACCAAATACTACGACAATGTCCAGACTATATTCGTCTGACTTTCCCAGGCGTCTGGCAGTGTTACAATACCACTAATACTGGGTTCCATGGAAACACAGACACACCATTAGACACGGAGATGCCGCATACCGTTCCTGAATTGCTGGATGCACTGACACATGTATGCGACCTTCATACTCGATCTGATAAGCGGCTGTGTCTCTTCATCGATGGTTTAGATGAGTATGTGGGAGATTCGCGCGACGTTATTCAGCTAGTAGGGGTTTTGCGAAATCTCAAATACGTGAAGATCTGCGTATCCAGTCGTCAATGGAATGAATTCGAAGACGCTTTTGGCAAAAATCGAACGGAAAAGCTGTACATGCAAGAATTCAATTACCAAGATATCAACGTATACATTCAAGACACTTTCGAAAACGATGACAATTACCAAGAGCTAGAGGACAAAGAGACGCTTGGAAAGGAACTTGTCCAAGAGATAGTTTCCACGGCAAATGGAGTGTTCTTGTGGGTGGTACTTGTTGTCAGGTCTCTCCAGGACGGTTTGTGTGAAGCAGACAGCATCACCCATCTACAGCAGCGCCTTCGCAAGCTGCCTACGAATCTAGAAGAATTATTTGAGCGCATACTTTTCCGAGACGTAAAGGAATCGTACCGTAGCGAGGCCTCTCACTTGTTTTTGGTAGCACTGGAAGCGAAGGAAAATCTCCCACTTATGGCATACTGGTTCTTAGGCGAAGATTTGCCAAAGCAACGTCTACCACTGAAGATGCAACAAACGATCAAACGACACAAAGACGCCAACAAACGCCTGATTGCGAGTTGTAAAGGCCTCCTAGAGCCTCGATTCCGATCAACGACCGGACAGCAGGATTCGTTGCCTTCTGCAATTCTTTTCGAATACACAGTGGACTTCCTACATAGGACTGTGAGAGACTATCTGCTTCTACCAACGACCGACATCAAACAATGGGCGGAGCCTCATTTCAATCCAGATGAGGCTATTTGTAAAGCCCTCTATTCGCAGATCAAGACAGCACCCCATGGGGAAGAGTATAAACCCCATGTTTCGGCACTATACCAAACATATGTCTACCATGCCAACTTGGTTACACGGTTGCACAGTAGCGAGATGGCGATTCAATCATTCAGTGCAGAGCTTGTTGGTGTAGTCTCAGAGTATGGAATCGAGGGTGCTGATCCACCAGCGACTGAAGACACTCATACCCACGATCTGGTCACCAATGTGAGACCCTACGATGCCGAAAAGCTAGAAGTAGTGACTATAGGGTCCTCCCACGGGAAATCTGAACTTGGAGCAAAGCCACACCAAGGACGGCCATCAACAATGAAAAGACTTCTCTCGAAACTCAACAAAGCAAAGACTCAATCGCTGGAGTCTACAGCAGCCAAATGATATTGCTGAATTATGGATGTGGATGTTTATGATCAATACAGAACGAACTCCCTCTCTTCTGAACCCTTCCATTCACTCATTTGCCCGTGCATTATCCCATGAATGAATGTCTCTCCGATGTTGATAAAACCATGACCCTCCATACGCGGTCGAAATATGTAGGGCACTCTACTATTGTGTGGGATGCAAACGAGGTCGCCACTTTGGGTATCTTTGGGCACGAGGCAAAAGCGACCTTTCTTGGTGACCGCAAATCTTCTGTTATGAGACGGAAAACAGGCGGCGTGAAATATTCTGATAGAGTTTGTTATATCAGATTCTTCAGCATCCTCATCGGCAAGGAAACCTATAAATTCTTGTGCTTTTCTGACCCGGTCTTGAGGCGTGATCGCCGCATCTTCCCATAAGTGCCCGCAGCCCCTGGCTTGGATAGTGTCGGCATAATCAAGCAACACACTGCCTTCCTCACGGTTCGAATGATCTTTTGCATATTCGTACCAGTTGGCAAAGAAGAGGCAGTGATCGTTCACATCGTAGTGATCGCAGTGACGCCGCGGGGGCATATAATCGCTTGTGCTTCGAACAGCGTCTACTATGGAACCTTTGCATCGCATGAGCAAGGATGCTGTGCCATCGCGTGGGCTCACAATTTCTAAAGAAGTGTGATCGGTATTCTGTTGTCCAGACGACGAGAAGCTACTTGCGGGGTGATTGAGTAGAAACCGTTTCGTACGAGTTTCCCAGTTCGTAGTCCAGGACTCCAAGGATGGCTGAACCCCATCCGATAGCGAGAGGCTTAGCGGCTGGCCAGAAAGATCATTCAAATACTCAGAAGCTTCACTGTAGACATCCCCGGTAGTAAGTCCAGTCGTACTTCCGGTCAGTTCCCCAGGGGATAGGAGAGTAGCGATCGAGTAAGCTACATCTACGTAGTCGATGACAAAGTAGGTTCTGGCTGGGATACTTCGTATTGCTAATAACAGGTCTGGCAACTTCGTATGTCTACTGTCTAGTCCGAGTTGCCTACACCGCATGGCTTCACAAAGAAGCACATACATAGTCGCTGGGGACTGCGGCCTTGACTTGGGACTGAAGAATAGCCAGGCAAGCAAATTCTGTGCTAGATCACTCCAGGGAACGCTCCTTTCTCCGTCAAATATGACAGGATTCCGGGAACACACGATGTCTCGTATCACCCATATCCTAATGTTTAGTAAGTTGGTGGAAAAGTTGGAAAAAGGATTCAACGTACTTTGTGAAATAGAATTGATCCAGAAATGAATCCATTTTGTGCCATATATCGCTATCGAATATCTCGGCTTCTTTGCCGAACACTTCTAGGTCGTGTTCTACAATCCTGTATGTCGAATGGAGGATATCAACCTCTGAAAGACATTCAACTATTGCTTTCTGGTAGTTGCGAACTCCAGACATCGTGGACGTAAGCTTTTGCAGGAACGTAAGGTCTTCTACCCCAGGCCAACACAGTGTGCGCTGCGCCGTATGATAGATAAAAGGCAATTTTGGCAGCATATATTCGTTATCCTTCACATTAGTTTGATCGATGCAGATAGCGTCTATCCATAAAGGCTCAACATGCCCATATTGACGTAGCGACAGCAAGAAAAGATGCAAGTTTTTGGTGATTTCAATATTGCAGCCTTCGCATTCAACGCGGTGATCCATCCCAGTTGGACCCCATGCGTACGAGAGCGCATCGAAAGCTAATTCTGTCAGGGCGCATGTAGTGAGCTTTACGCGCACAGGTTCATGATTGCCGGGTAGCAGCTGAACCAGACGTATGTGCCCTGAAGCCATGTCTAGAGGTTGGTATCGGTAGCGTTGCGCCATCATCAAAGAGGCCACGCGCTCGCTCGAAAAATTGCAAAGACCCGAAAAGGTTGGTCTCTTTTGACTGAAGCAGCAATGAGGTAGCAGAAGTGCAACGGAAGAGAAGAAATGGAGGGTCGTAATTTGGGGGTCAGAAAGGAGGGGTCATTGGTATGTTCAGCAACTAGCCAATGGATTGGTAGTTCACGCTCTAGACCGCATATAGCCTTTACCAAGCTTTCTCATGACATTCCTACGTCATAGCGAAGTCAACTCGAGGTTCACATGAGACTGAGCAACGCAATGAATACAAAAGATAGTGTCTGTGAGAGACGCTCGATCGTGCAAAATCAACGTCTCTATATCGACACTATTCGTTGCAGACATGGTGTTACGCCATGATTTCGGTGGGGAATATAGAGCGGTTGGTGGGGAGATGTGTCGCTAATCGGATCCTCGCGTAGTATGCAATCTATTCACTTTGACACTCCATAGCGACACAAAGGCATAACCATCTAAAACGAACACCCTGAAACAGAAAACATGCGTGCCACTGCACCCAAATAGGGACTGATGTCTTATCTAGGTGCACTGAAGGCAGTTCTCAACTGAAAAGCATGGATCGCGAAGGCTTTGGCGGGGAGCTAACCTGACGTGGCGGCTGCACGTCAGCCGCACTTTGCACAGCGCGGGGAAACACAGGCAAACTTGATAAAACCATCATTACCTTGAGTATTGCCCTTTGTTGTCTTTCTCTTCTCCAGCACCTCTTCCCGTCCGTACTCCGTACCACGCGTACAGGCCTTGAGAGTTAGTCGTCGACTATAAGCCACAAGAAGAGCTCAACCCTGATACGAACAATGTCGTTCTGGTCTTCAGAAAGAAACCCTGTTGCAGCTGCAACTGTTCTCTGGGATATCGGTCGAGGGTTGTCCGAGCTTGAGGGGGAAGGAGAACTGCTGAAAGAACACACGATTTTCCTGGAGAAGCTGAAAAATACATTGGAAGCTGTGAATAAGGTTATGAAGGAAGGTCCCATTCTCCAAGGTCTTCAGGACGATATCACAGCAATATGGAATCCTCTTCTTGAGACGGAAGTAGAAATAGTGTTCTCTATGGGATTGAACGAAGACGAGGTTAAAACCGAGGATATGAAGTCCGTCGCCTCCAAATTTTACCTGAAGACCGCATATTATCAGCGCTTTTCCAGCAAGATCACAAGGCTACAAAACGAAGTTGTGATACCGCTGCTTGGCCTTCATAGGAGTATCACGACGATGTTTCCTCAGAAACTTTCTAGATCCTGGCAGACTATCAAGAGGTGGGCTGCTGAAAGCAAGCGTTGTATTGACGAGAGAATGGTACTCCAGTCCAAGGGGTGGTTACGGCCTCTATCTTTGGTTGAAGAGAAATCTCAGGCGTACATGGACATCGCTTCTTCGTCGAAATGCGAGTGGTTTTGTTCCAAGCAAGAGTATATCGATTGGTACAATCAACTTTCGAAGAGAAGCTCTCCAATATTGTGGATCTCTGGTATTCCTGGAATAGGAAGAACGCAGATTGCAGCAACGGTCGTCCAGAAGCTCCGCGAAGATAAGCGTACGGTGGCCTATTTCTTCTATGGGGAAGAAACCACCGCTATAGTTAACGCTCGAAAACTCATGGTCACACTTTGTTGGAACCTTCTCAATCAGTTTCCAGAAGATGTTGAGTTGCTATCAGAGGTTTGCAACAAAGATGGCGAGCCCACTGAAACTGAGGTCCAGACTGTTCTCCAGCGTATGTGTGAAAGAAGAGACGCGATAATCGTTCTGGACGGTTTGGATGAGTGTTTTAAGCTTAAGGTGCAGGGGGAGAACGAGATAGACAAGTTCTGCCAGTTCCTTGCATCATCGAATGGCGTCTGTGATGTCATCATGTTCAGCCAAGAGCTCGAAGATATCAAGCGGGGTTTATCAAAGTACAATTCAATCCCTCGCATCAGTAATTGCGAAGCCGATTTCTGGGATGAAATAGAGAAAATTCCAACCCGATGCGCTGCAGGATTTGGATTATCGGAAGAGAAAGAGCAGGGGGTAGTAGATGCCGAAGTCAGATCATGTGAGGTTATCGAAGAGCATAATATCTACTTTCCTGGGTCAAGAGAAGATCAGTGTCAGGTATATGCGATGCTGCGGCACAGTGTATGTGGATTGCGCCTACCAGCCCATATTGCTCGACAGATTGTTGACGAAGCCGAATACTGGGTCAAGGCAACTTTTGAGCGCAGTGAACCACTTATGTTCGACGGGAAGAAGTGCAAGAGCAACTTCCCCTACCTTCTAAGTGATCCTATCGATGGTGCGCGCCACTTTCCTGTCCGCAATGTCATCGCCACCTGCAGTCATAGCCAAGCATGGGCTTCATACCCAGACCGAAACGGCGATTACCGTGGCTCAAGCATATACTTTGATTTCGTTGTACGAGATCCTGACGGATCAATACGCAACTTCGATCCGGCAGAAAGTTTGGACTTGTTTGAGATACAACAACACCTAGGAACACCGAAGAAGCCCAACGCCGTTAGCAGAGTGCCATACAATGAAAAAACGTCCTGGATGTGTCTAATCACGCCGGGAAGTAGACTCGGGGTCATACCTAAAGCCATCGGCTGGATCAGTCTTGTTGAGGTTGTTCGGATCGAAATCTTCTCGACGTTTCTCGAGGAAGAGCACGGGCAGCACGAAGCACTGCGCAGGTTCAAACAGAAAAAGGAAGAGATCTTGGAGCAGATTTGGAATACCAGGAAGCAGACCCGATTACTAACTGATAACCGAAAGGGTGTTGAACAGGAACTTCCGAATGCAGTTTACAAGAAGCAGTTGCAGTTGAACAATTGGGATAGGGACAATGTGCAGTCTCTTGAGAAGCAAAACGAGCCTCTACTGCCGTCAACTGACAACAGCCTCATCTATACGAGATCAGCGCTTCGGAGTCCTCGCAGCCCGCTATCAGTGTACCATGAGGACGCAGATCAGATTCGGCCAAGCCTAGTTTCCAAAGTTCTTAAGCATTCGAACACACAGATTCCCTTGGATGATATAAGTCGCAATGATAAGAATTCTCACAGCTCGACATCGACAACTTTCGTTAGGATGATCCGGGAGCTTGTACGACCGAAAGTGCGTCCTGGATATAAGAGACTGGAGTGGACTTGTGTGAGCGATTTCCTGCATCCACCAATAACTTGCACGCGCTCACATCATAGACTTGCGGGGAACCTCTCTACGGTGATTTTGAAGAAAAGACATCGGGATCTCTTGATCAACTTGCCGCCAAACTCAAACAACAGTCTAGCCAAAGCTCACAGCATGGCGCTTCTGCACCGATACCACAACCAAAGAAAGCGTACACAAGACAAGCCCAGGCGGTAGGGTACAATATGCCTGGATCGGGCAGTAGTAGCTCCAATGATCCGAACAATCTCGTAAGTAACGCAGTGTCATCACATCTCAATACTGTCAAGCCACCGCCATCGACTGCCTTACAATTGTGCATTGAAACTGGAAAGTACAAGCTTGAAATGAGTGAGCTCGCCCGCCCTAGCCCTGCCGTTAGCGATGGAGAACTCTTCGCAATGATACGAGAGAAATATGAAAGCACTCGCCATTCGATACTCCCAACATGGGCGCGATTCAAAAAGCCAAATAGAGCCATCTTTGTAAAGGTTCGTCGCAGAAACCCACAACCATTCATATCCCGTGACTAACGTAGTTGTAGTTCCTTCTTGGAACAAAACGGACCGTCTCCCTCAACAACGAAACCCCCTCAATACCACCAGCCACAGAAGTCAGACATAACTACGACTACGATCCTTGCCCAATGGAGATACCCCCCATGGACAGTCGAGTGTTCTTCCACCACTTTTACGCCCCTAGATCACAACACTCTGACGTGTTTTGGGGTAACCGGCTGCCGTGGAAAGTCAAGCCTTTACTCGGGCCTAGCAATCATGGCTAGGGCATTTATCTTGAAGAAAGCCCCGATTGGCCGCTGTTCGCTGCGTTGATGTGTTTCCTCTTGTTGCTAAGTGGCGTTGTTGCGGGAATTTATGCGTGGAAAATGGACGATGCACAGACTGGGGTCGCAATTGGAGCGTGGTTGACTAGTGTACAGGCTATGGGTATAACAACCGTCTTCTTTTGGTGGAGTTAAGACGACGTTGCAATACTCCCCACCACATCTTATCCCCAGAGTCTCACCCTACTAGATGGCTTTCCATAACTCTTATACAAAATCAAACACATCCCCCCTATCACCCACCATCTTCCCCACCCTCTTCGACCCCACAATCCTCTCCAACTCCAACCTCTCCCACCTCGAAAAGCACACCTTAACGCTCGCCTCGGCGCGACTAATCTCCGCCCTCTCCACACTCTTCCCCACAAAGCCCACAACCTCATCGTAAAAGATGTGATTCTCCGGTACCCCATAAAACACGACCCTCTTCACGCCGCGGAGATTATAGCGGTGAAAGTGGTGCGCGCGACCCGTATACAGCAGCACCGAGTGTTTACCATTCATAAAGTGGCTACGTGCTTTACGCACGTCAGTTGCATCCGTGTACTCAGAGATGGAAGCATACGCGATATCCGTGTCGACGAGGGAATTGCGGACGCGGACAAAGTCGAGGTAACTTGGTATGAAGACGAGGACGCCGAGGCCGCCTTCTACCGGCTTAGGCAGCCGTGTGATGGACGGCAGGACAGTCGTGTTGAAATACTTGAACCTAGCGTCCGGGTCCGTAAGATGGGATGGCGAGTCGAAGCGGAGAAAAGTCTGCTTGATGCCATAAGACAGGGTTTCGATGAGCCCCGCGGTATGGTCCGCCGTGTACTTGAGCCTGCCTGCAAAGTTCCGCATGTGTCTGTTGTACAGCGTGTTGATCTTGGGCGTCAGAAAGGCACTAAGGACAATGGTCTGGCGGACGAAGCCCGCGTGGCCATCTAGATACCAGTTCCTCACACGGCTAAAGTCGCAGCCGTGGGAGTCCTTGGGCTGGAGATTCAGATGCTCAAAGACAAACTCGGCGTGTTCCCAGTTCTGCATCAGAGCGGCGTCTGCTTGCTCCATGATCACCATTTCAATCGACGAGAGGAAGTCCGAGTCGCGTTTCTTGGGGTCTCCAGATTCGATGGCGCGACGCAGGCCTAGTGTCGAGGCAAAGATGATGTCAGAGTTGTAAAACGTCGAGTAGTATTTCAGCGTCTTTCGGGTGAGTTTTACGCCGATGCGAAATTCGTTCTCGTCGTTTCCTTCAAACAGGTCTCGGAAGTCTGCTGGCCGGTCTTCGGAGAACTTGTCTTCTGGGAGGGAAAAGCTGTCGAGGAATCTCTTCTTGTTCTCCTGCTGTTCGAAATCGTGGAGAGCGGTTATGCTGTCTAGGGCGCGAACGCAGGCTTGTTTTGTTTCTAGCAAGAAGAGGATCTTGGGACGGGTGAAGCCTTGATCGCGGTATTCGGTGTCGGTGTCGGTGTCGTCGTCTTTTGCTTGGGCAAGTTTGGCGTTGTTTTTCAGAACGCGATCGCGTGTCATGAGGATGTGATTCAGCGCGTGCAGACAGGTGATGTCGCGCAGACGACTGGCATTTTGAACTGTCCTCGCGCCGAACAACAGATCCTGATAGCCGAATATCGAGGGTGTGATGACTTGTTCCAGCTCGTCAAAGGCGCCGATTCTCTTTTGTGCATTTTCGACAAGCCGCGCTTTCAAGTCAAGATCGCGGACGCTTCGAAGCTTCCTAACCGGCGTCTTGACTTCGTCGCTGGGAACCTGAAGTACTCCAGCCCCCAGCCCAGGTTTCCGATCGAGCTTTTGTGACGTCCATTGGTTGGCTGCTATCCGCTTTAGGCGCATCGCTAGTTCGTTCTCGTCTGGGTTCGCAAAGTGTCTTTCGTAGGCTTGCTCGAGCTTCTGCTCTTCTCGGTCGTCCTCGTCCGAGACCTCGTCGTTATCCAACTCTTCTTCCTCTTCCTCAGCCACAGCGTCTTCGGCTTCTAGCGTGGAAGATTCGTCATCCACTTCGACGTCGGGCTCAGGTTCGTCGTGTCCCAACTTCCGTCTTTTCTTCCGGTGTTCGTCGGAGCCAGTATTGCGCGACGAGAAGGACTGCAGGAGGGAGGCATACGCATTCGAGATTGGCTGCGCTTCTTCTTCCTCTTCGTCCGAGGCAGCGTCGTCTGAGGCGTCGGATTCGCTGTCGTCGGACACGGATGGTTCGCGCATGTGGACGTTTCTGGAGCCTGTTGTCAGTACTGGGCTAATGCGCCTGCGACCAATATCCGTACTCACGAATCTTCGACCTCATCTCGTGTTCTCGCTGCTGCAAAACCGCCTCTGCTTCCGCCTCTTCCACGGCCTCTCATGCCACCTCTGCCTCTTGCCATTCCCCCGCCACCCCTTCCCCGTCCACGGGAACCGCCTCCGCCTCGACCTCTCATTGGCGCCATTCGGGACGCGCCGAGCGATGTAAGTTGGGTGGAGGCCTCGGTGTGTGTGTGTGCGCAGTACTGATTGCGCAAGAAATAGAGTCGCGGTACTTGGATGCGCGAGATTCGAAGGTTTAATTGTATACCCGAGGTGGTGTTGCTTTGATTTGAATGATTCTCGAAAGCCATGCTAGCCCGCGGCGTCCACCAAAAAAAGTTCAGATGGTCCGTGCAAGCGAACGCACCTGCCCAGGTTTCTTTCACAATATCGACATTGTGCCCCACCAAGCACATTTGACGTCCTCCGAGCGCCTCACCACCACCACCCACGCCCACGCCCACGCCCAAGCACCGCCATCACCGTCACCATGGCCGAGAACGACTCCTTCCTCCATCTTGCGCGCCCGCTCGGCCCTGCCTCCATGGGCGCCCAGCCGTCGACTGCCCCGCTGAACGTCGCCATCCAGCCCCAGGTATGCGACAACCGCAGTGAGAGGCTGCCTGCTCTGCTCTCTGACACCCAAAACTAGGCCGTCTTCTCCATCCTCGACCACTCCCTCCGCCGCCCCGCCGAGCAAGAACGCGTCATCGGCACCCTCCTCGGCACCCGCAGCGAAGACGGCACCGAAATCGAGATCCGCAACTGCTATGCCGTCCCCCACACCGAAACGGCTGAGCAGGTCGAGGTCGACATGGACTACCAGAAGCAGATGCTCGCCCTGCACCTCCGCGCAAACCCCCGTGAGGTCCTCGTTGGCTGGTACGCCACCAGCAGCGACCTCAACACCTTCTCCGCCCTCATCCAGAACTTCTACAGCCAGCAAGGCGACGGCACATGGCCACACCCGGCCGTCCATCTCACCGTCTCCACCGTCCCTGGAAAGGATATCGAGTCCAAGACGTACATCTCCGCGCCCATTGGTGTGACGGCTGAGCGCGCCGCAGACTCGTGCCTCTTCATCCCCGTGCCCCACGAGATCAAGTACGGCGAGGCAGAGAGGTCGGGCCTGGAGCTCATTTCGTCGGCAAAGGACAAGGAGGACCGGTCACAGGACGTCATGACCGATCTCGATTCCCTGGAGCGCGCCATCACACACGTCCTGGACATGCTCGAGCGCGTCTCCAACTACGTTAACAACGTCCTGGACGAGGAGGCCGAGCCGTCGTCTGCGCTGGGACAGTTCCTCATGAACGCCCTCAGCCTGGCGCCAAAGGTCGAGCCCGCCGACATTGAGCGCGATTTGTACGTCTCCATCCCCTCACATGTACCCTTCGCCCTCTGCTAACGTGACTTGCCACAGCAACGCGCACATCCAAGATGTCCTCGTCGTATCATACCTCGCAAACACCATTCGCACACAGATCGACCTCTCGAATCGTCTCGCAACTGCGGCACTTACCATGGGCGGCGGCGACCCGCTCGCTGGCGATGGCAAGAAGGATGGTGACAACAGGGGCAAGGGTGGTGACAGGCGAGGTGGCGGCAAGGGAAGGCAGCAGAGGGAACAGGAAGCTTGAATTGACGGGTAGGCACACTGCATGGAGTTTGGCGTTTCTTAAATGACATGCCACTGGCGAAAAGGCAGTTTCAAAGTGGGGCGACACCAACCACCCGCTTTTGGGGCCAGCAAGAGCTGTGCCTGGGAAAAGCTACAAGTCTAGGTCTCACGAAAGGACAATGGGGTAGAGAGAAGAGAGCGAAGATGATTGAATGGCCCCCCCTCAACTCGCTGCTCTCCACATTTAACCGGGGGGCGTAGCATGAGGGCGCTGTATAAGTACTACATTTATCCCCACAGTAGCATGGTCGACACTTATGTCTAGATGCCAAGAAAAGTCATGGAATGAAGACGATTCAAAATTACAAATGATGATCTTGAGGTGTGGTGGTGATGTGTCGTGATTCCGTGCAGAGGTTTGGCACGCAAAGTATTGTGGGGGTGGAAGGGAACGTATGGGAAGGAACATGGCGGCAGGCTTTGGGACGGTGACTTGACGCAAGACTGTTTGTTCATTTTTGAGATGTTGATATCTGGGACGAGTTTTGACTTCCAGTGGAAGCCGTATGTTGGAATCTACTGTATTGTGTGTTCTTTCCAGCTGGGTTGAAATAGAATTGGTGGTTATTAGTGTCCCATTTGTTGTGCTTCGTGGACGAAGAGACTCTAGGTGGTGGTTGATGAGGATTGGCGTCTAAGCCGAATACGGCGTAGCATGTATACCTATCAACCAGGATGATGCTTCTCGAAGACTTCCGCCATGGTTCTGAGGCCTGTAATAGGATCCTTGTTCAGGCCGTATTAGCTAGAGAAAAATGGCAGCCTCTACTAAGTGCGTAGAGTCGACCTCAGTAGTCTCGATAGTGTCTTCGGGATACTTGAGAGATGGCAAGGTGAGGGGTTCGGTGGATCGGTGGGTGGGCAGAGGGTGTTCATGTATAGGGCATATCGACCGGTTCTCGGCTGGGGTAATGCGCAGAAGGCATGGTTGAACCTGAACTGCGAGGTCTTGCGCCTGAACTCTTTAGTAACGCTTTCAGTCATGGCCAAATCTCAAATTGTGGTTGCTGAGATAGACAGTGTTAAAGTTCGAGAGGTAGGTTGCGTAGTGCACTACTCCGCTCCGAGACGAATTCAGGCTTCGAAGCTATTGACAGAAGTATTGAAAGAGTGGTGCACAAGGTGATGACGAGGGGTCGATGGCGAGTTTAAGCTCCGCTTTCCATCTCTTCAACCGGCCACCTGCAATTTCTTAGGACTTCTGCATTTTTCAGAACATCTCGGCGCCTCATCCAACGTAGGAAGTTTTCGCTGCAGCTAGATGCGGCAAGGACCGAGCTTATGAATACAGAAAGAACTTACTAACGATCATTGGTTCTATTAACCATCACACCAGGATACCTGATGACTGACCGCTTCCAACGCATGATGTGAGTGTCGGGGAGTACTTTATCCTAGCCTCAACTGCTGACAGCTGCCAAAATACGAAAGTCCTTCATAATTGTCGACGGCTCCGTTCCCTAATTTCTCAAGCGTCTCTGATTTATTCGTCATCAACAGCTGTAAATTCCCCTATCACTCGATTGGTAAACAGCTGATCTTTTCAGACATATCTGGAGTTATGTTGATGATGTGACGACAATCTCACCGTGTTTAGCTTTCAAATCGTATGGCTATCGAATTCGATCCCTTCTTCCATCCATATATAAGGCTATCGCGAAGCCTCGTGTGTCTGTACCGAACGTTCAATCGTGCAAGGCGTTTCTAGATACTCCAGCTAAAATCATCACAAAGGTCTTGCTTGTTTGCGGTAAAGCTATTCACAATTTCGAATCGAAAGCTAAACAAGAGACTAGCTTATGCGTAATGACCGATCTGGACGAACTCCGGAATAGCTTGCGCAGCAACTTGTTTTAATCATTCACATCCCTTCTACGAGCGACAGCGGACACCGCGAAGGGCTCTTGTTCTTTTCAGAGCTAACACCATTGTTACTGACACATCCACGAGAAGAAACGATCATTTTAAGCCTCAATTGCTGGTATCGATGAAGTCATCGGCAATATGCTTAGGCGTCACTGGAGATGTCAAAATATCATCATCAACCTCACTGGGACCAGCTATACCGAACTAGAGGATCCTCTCAACCTCTACGATGCTTCTAGAGCAGCCACACTCCTTTCGATCCCCATGGCATTGTGTGGGTTTCCACAAGCCAGCTTCCTCTAAGGCAGTATTCCTGTCGATGACCGGCGGTATGCCGATGTAGATTAGCAGATGCATCTATTCCTGCTCACCATTTACGGTAATCGGCCGTGGCACAAGCAGATTGAGCACAGCGAATACATATTAGAGAGCAGCAACTTGACTAAAGAGGTCCAATCGCAGTACTGGGATGAAGTTATAAGACCCGAAGAGATAGTGTACATGATCATGTTGATCAAGCGCAAGGGCGATATGAGCGATACCTCTTGTCGAGAATTCCGCGCGATGAACATGGAAAAGACACGTAGGAACAAGGAGATGAAATGGTAAGCTCTTAAAGCTCAAGGATGCTCTGAAACCTTCCAAGCGAACATATGTTATAGTTCCAGCTGTGGGCTAGTCTCGGGCGTGACTGAGAGCACTCTCGAGACTGGACATGTTGATCCCGCCAGCGAGAAGGAAATTGATTCTCAAGCAAAGCCATCAAAGACATTCCAGAGCCTAGTGGAGAAGCGATTCTTGCGAATACGTCACCAATGCGACCTCTCGACACACGACCTCAACTCTATTCCGCACTATCGACTCGGCACTACTGATACCCCGTTTTGCCCCAGGTGCGACAGCGAAAATTCCGGGTGGCATACTTTCTGCCCAATGTGTGGTCAGGATGACGGGTTCTACTAGATCGATATGGACCAGAGCTACCTGAATTCTCGTGTATGGTTGCATCACAAGATTCCATTCCATGTCGCAGTCTGTCAATCGTGATTCATAAAGCTCTATGCTACATATGATTTGCAATGTCATCATATCAAATCCTATCTCTAGCAATCATATTCAACACCGACAACTCCTAGATGTTAGTGCAAAACTCTGTTGGTGTTCGATGCTAGCAATATACGCCATCATTTCTTATTTGTTGTCTGAAATCTCAGCTTCATTACACCAGCCTTCGATCTAAGACAGCAGAGTCTCTTCTGCTCATGACTTTCGTTACTTTTTCCAATAAACTTCGACATGTCTGGTAGGGTAAGCTGATCTGGCACTGGGATGTTCCACCTTGTAGACGATATCCATAACCAACTCCACCCGAGCTTCGATGGTAGGTATAGCATCAGTTTATGGCGTCGGAGCTTACGGAAAGTCTGAGAAAAACGTATATGAGAACACTGATATTGTGATGCCGATATATGTTGTAGTCCTGTCGGCCCAAACATCCCTCAGATCGACTTGATACTTGCTCTTCACATCTGCGCGGGTGATAGGGCCGATGCTTGGGTGGAATCTTGTCGCTGAAATCACCGCAACGAGTCCGTATGCTGTTCCATTGAACAAAAGTTGGCCCTTGTTTGTCAAAGAGGTCAAAGACGACTTGCTAAATGGTGAGCGCGCACACCGCTCTCTTCAAGAAGGTTTCACTAATCTTGTTCAAGCAGCGTTCGTTCTGTGAGGCAATAGTATGCTTATGTACTGGTGCCTTGATTTCAAATCTCGCAGCACCAGTCGAACATGCGGCAGCCTTGTTTCTCCAGTAGTGATAGCTAGCTTCGTCGGCTTCTTTACCACGGAAGACACTTTGTGAACGAGTATTTCGAAAGGGAAACATGCTTGATACCACGTGTAAGACCAGTGTCGTCACCTTGCTTCTAAAAGCACATCTTGAAGGGCCTTGCCATTGCATATGACTAGAAGCTGGCTAATGGACCTTGGCGGCTTACAGCATGACTGGATAGAAGTGTTTCACTACAGACCGATCTTGCGCCTTCGATAAGCGTTGTCTGAAGGCGCAGCAGAAACTTGGACAGCGCACGAAGACTGTGCGTCCATCTGCCATCTTACCAATCGATTCTATCACTTTTACTCCGGTTGATCCTGCTTACTCTTGGCGTTGAAATGATCATACCACGCGGCTGGATGAAAGACTGTCCCTTGGTGTACCATCGACATATTCTAGAACAGCTTGCGCTGCTTGGCACGTAGTCGACTGCTTTCTAGACCGTCCTTCAGTGCTGACGGCAATTTTCGGAAAGTGGTGAAACTGCATCTTCGGTCCTTATGCTGCCATGTTAGCTGGGATGGTTAGCGTTATCAGCGGCTCTGTGTGTGCCCTGCATTAGTTCACTCTGTCAGTGCGCTCAACGCGGCCTCGCCCCGAACGTGCCAAGCTGACCAGGATCTGCGCGTAGCGACCATCATAACGACAGACGAACTTGAGCTGTGCACACTGGTACAATAGCTGTTGTGGCCAAACTGTTTAGTAGTACGACCTATACAACCACGCAACCCCTTCTATTAGAGGTACTGCAGAGCACCTTCGACGTCGAGCACTACTCTCTCCGCCACCCGGCTTCGAATTGTAGTTCAATAAAGAGAGAATCCACCAATCTCATTCAGATATCACGAACGGAAACTTTACGACGCGCTGCCGCTGTCTACAACGTGCCGGAACGACCCTCCTCAGCCGACACACTAGAAAGCACTCACGGCACCCGAATCGGCGCATTAGATGCACGGACCCAGAATTTGCGCCACTGCGACACCATGGTCGCTGCGCGTGCACAGATACTGCCTAGCTTAGCTAGACGGAACGACATGTTTGTAAACCTCTCATTTCCACCAACTATTCTACTACAACACGTTCAGTCGGGCCTATTACGGTTACGAACATCTACTATGTCCAAAAGTTGCAATTGGTGGAGAATACCTTGGCAATTTAGCAACCGGCGCGACTATCGTATCGTTAAAGCCGGACTTAACGACAATCAAGTTGATCATACCAGTCTAACCTAAATTCGTAATCTACCAGCTCGCATGGGTTAACGTTCTACTGAATTTAGTTAAACGACATGAACTGGTTCGAATGGTCATCAGTCTAGTTGAAGCTGAAAGAGGTAGAGCACTTCGGCAGTGAAGGGTACGAGGAGGCTATACTAGAGCCGGAGCAATCGAAAAGCGTCATGAACTTCTATAAAGAGCTGCTACAGAAGACCTGTAAAGGATCATTCCCACACAGCTATCTAGATCTCGCTCACCCTCTCTTCAAATATCGACTTTCGTCTCCCGATACTTATAACAATATTCTCTTGCACGTTCAAAATGCCTGCCTTACACACTGGATTGATATTCGCCGCTGTGGCTGCTGTCGCCTCAGCGGCTCCTACCACCGACAACACGTCTGCCGCCTCTTCAAATATACTGGCTAAGCGTGCCGTCTGTTCATATACGGGCACCATCAACCCCACTACTGTTGCCTCTGATGCGCCTGGCTGCTCCTCCATCACCTTCAATGGAATCACTGTCCCTAAGGGTCAGTCGCTCGATCTTTCTAAGCTCACAAAGGGCACAACGGTCACTTTCCAGGGCCACAACACTTGGCTCGCCCAGGTTGGCTTCGATGACTCCCTCCTCAAGATCGGTGGTACCGACATCATCGTTACTGGTGCAGCCGGTGCTCGCCTTGATGGTCAAGGTGCCCAATACTGGGACGGTCTGGGCAGCAACGGTCCTACACCCAAGCCTAAGTTCCTAGCTGCTCACAACTTACTGGGCACCTCAGCTATCAACAACCTCTACCTGTTGGACACACCCGTGCAGGCCGTCAGCATTAACGGCTGCAATGGTCTCAAGGTCAATAAGATGACTATCGACAACAAGAGCGGAAACAGTCTGCCTGCGAACAAGATGCCTCACAACACTGATGGCTTTGACATTGGTGCTAGCTCCAACATTGTCATTGACGGCGCTATTGTCGACAACCAAGATGACTGCGTTGCCATCAACTCCGGCACCGTAAGTTCTGAACACTGGAAGATCATGTCTAATTGCTGACCCATTGTGTAGGGCATTACTTTCCAGAACGGACAGTGCAACGGTGGTCATGGTCTGTCTGTCGGGTCGGTTGGCCACGGATCTAGCACTGCCTCTAACACAGTCAGCAATGTGCAATTCCTCAACAATAAGATCAGCAACTCCTCCAATGGCATCCGAGTCAAGTCTTTTGTTGATGGTAAGGGATCCATTGACAAGGTTACCTACAAGGGCATCACGCTCAGCGGTATCACCAAGTATGTGCACCACTCTCTGCTCCTCCACTTGTCCTAATAGCTAGCTAGATACGGGATCCTTATTGAGCAGAACTACAACGGTGGTGACCTCCCCAAGAACGTTGCCCCTGGCACTGGCGTCCCTATCACTGGCCTGACTATCGACAACATTATTGGCGGCAACGGTGTTGTCGCTAGCGGAACTAATGTTGCTATTGAGTGTGGCAACTGCAGCGGCTGGACCTGGACCAGCACTGTCAATGTGACCGGTGGCAAGAAGTTCTCCTGCGTTGGTACTCCCAGCGCTGTCCCTGCTGGCACTTGTGCTTGAGTGGTGAAAGTCCAATCAGTGATGAGGTGTGCAGTGTTGAGAATATCAAGTAGAGCGGCGCAATTTAGAGCGATAGCTCAGTATCTTTTCGTTCAACGGGACAACTACATCAACCATTGTCAAGATACGTCAGTGTTGAGAATAAAGTTTCGCCACACCGGTGATTACTGCGACAGCACTCAATATCCGCAAAATCCAGTATTCAGTCTTCTAAAGCGATCACACAAAGGGTATAATGAACCGCCTTGGTAGTAAGCAGAAAAGTAACATAATGCCAGCTGTTAGCATAGCGATAACAGAGGCTGATGTCGGCACGTTTGCCACCACTAGCATGGTAACGGAGGAAGGTCAGGTTCGAAAATTTACCCAAGGCACTTGTGAAGAGTGCGTGCTCCTGGCTTCGACCAATACATGCAGGATTGTTGACCCTCAGCTTGCCGTCATGTTTTCATCAGTGAATGCATCTGTTCGCTCCCTGTTGGCCTTGCGTAGGGGCATGGATCCAGTGATATGGACTGACCAGGAGATAAAGCAAAGGTAGAAACAGTTTGGATCATGGGCCAAGGGAGTAGAACTTGTTGTCTACCTGGGTTGAGTTCATTACATAAGTTAGGTACATATAGGAGGACCTCCAGTCTGAACGTCTAGTCGGAGACCCTTTAGCGACTTACGCTATGAAGGGAACTGAATCTAAGCCCTGACCTCCCCAAGAGCCTTTCTCTCTCGCTTCAAGATGTGATCTTGACATGTTGGCTTACTTTGATAGAGTCGGAATAGATCGGGCGAACTTTACCCGGACTCAAGGCAACCTTGCCTGGCCTTTGCCGCATAGGTCGCGTTGTGGCGTCGTAAGCGATGTCTAGGATGATGGGGGCGGGGCAACACTTGTTGGCATAATGCATCAACTCCCATCGATTACAACTTTCTTCGAGGTTCCACGTATTCATCCCTACATGCTCGCTTTGCGTCGCTCGATATTCGGATACCCAGGCCAACCCACACAGCGAACACGATGCCCATGTGCACATCGTTGACAATATAACGTGCGATCCAGGTACTGCTGTAACGCAGAACAAACGAGCTACTTTTGGCTTGCGCACCGCAAGCCATACAACTCTTCTCCGGTACCTCCGCACGACTGGTAACTTCGCACGTACGCAACGATTACTATCGCGTCGTACATTATTTTTTTGGTATCTCCGGTCTAGAACACGTAACACAAACATCATAATGATGGCAGAGCTCGACGATGAAACTCAGTCACTGGTGCAACAACTTTACGATGCGTGGAGTACTCAGGCGGATTCGAC